CTCAAAGCTTACCCGGCGTGAATGCTATGAATACCAACAGAATTCAGCATACTAAGCTCCTGTATTGCCACCTCGTGGCTAATGCACGTATAACTTCGCTTTGTTGGAAGGAGAGATCAGGAATTCCTTGTATTGCATAACAAGTGAATAAATGCTAGCATAAGTCGAAGCAGAGTTTTAAATTTAGTTACATTTAATAATGAAACTTCGCAATGGAACGAGAGTCTTCTCTGAAGGAAGCATATGAATCAAATATTAGGTGAAAATTCAAGCATGAAGTGGAAATATAAGCAACCAATCCCAGCTGTGGTGTGTCAGTTATGCATTTGCCCCTCAGCCCTGGCACTCTTGCTGGTGGGACACAAAAGACTATAGTGCCACTAATAAGTGACTTCAAAATTATCTCAATTAAGTAAACCTCTCAGGAAATTCTTGTCATCACTTCCATGGTCTCTGAGTGATTTGATATTCAATTGACATAGAGACAATTGTGGTTTATAGGAAATATTACCTTTATTAGGAATTAGATCCCACAATACTGTAGGAGTTGAATTTGATTATGTCCACACATACTTCAGAATAAGGAAGGACAAAGGAGCCATGGGCACAGTGAAGAACAGGGCAGAAAACGTAGGTGGAGGGGTGCCTACCACTGGAAGCAGCATCAACTACTAACTGGAGAACTGTGGGGATGCTCACCAGGCTCCACAGAGGCCTTTCATACTAGAGTTTTATATTTAATTTTGCATAGCAGTTCCCCGAACTCTCCAAGTAATTTCCTTCAAACCACGAAGAAGCTTATATAGCTGCACTGGCAGGTAGAGGGAGTTCCAGCTTTTACATTTACTGTTACAGTCTGAAAGCAGAATGGTTTTCCTCTTTCTGTCAGCATCAGCAGCACCCAGAATCCTAAATCAGCAGGAATAAAGGACTCATCCTTAACAACTGAATTAGAAAAAAAGCAAAACCATTCTTATTCTTGGCTCTTGCTAGTTCTTGTTCTAATCTATGTTATTTATACAAGTACATTGCCATGAGAATAAGTATCCTTTCATGACTATTCTATTTACCACAGTGAAGGCTAAGCCTTTGCTATCAGTTATGGGGATTTTGTGTGCAATTGCTTTCAAAATGCCTTCAAAAATCATTTGCTTGCAAGGCTAAGATAAATTGCTTTATGATTTATAGGAATACAATCACATATAAGGTTTGATGATTAATACTGAAAAGGCTAAGCACCTTAATCATCTCTATCTAACTGCATCCACATTTCTTCTACTTAGGGCTTAGCCTGTCTTCTAATAGGATTTAGTCCCGAACACTTCCTACTTTCCCTGGTTACACTGCTGATATCCCTTTATACAGCCAAGAGAGATCACCCTTGGCTTTGTCTTAATCTTTTAAGTGAATGGTTCTTAGAACAAATAATTTGACAGTCACATATGGCAGGGTGGGGAAACAGTCACAAAAATTTTCTCAGTAATGCCACAAGCAAATATTTTGTTAGTGAGTGATACCAATGAGTAGGCTTCAGGAGGAAGAAGATACTATGTACCTATACACATTGTGTGATTACTTAAATTTTAGTGTCATTAACACAGCATGACACTTTTTTAGAATTGTACATTATTTCCAGACACATAAAAATACACATAATTCAGTGATTATAAAGACCAGCATCTGACATGTACAACCACAGTCCCTGATAGGTAAATTCTGGTATTATGCAGTGACTTAGATGCAGTCTAACAACACTGGCTGAAAGAAAATTAGTCCTTTCAGCAGCTGAGCTTTCTTTGCAAACTTCTGCTACACAAGTTTATCCTCCATCTTTGCCAGGAGTGGTGGGCATACACTGAAACATCAGACTGGGATGCAACCACAATAGGGATGACATTTCTGATGGTTCCATGGGTTTCTGCATGACCCAGGGAAAGTCGTTGCAGTAAAATTTTATCTCATTTGAAAATTAAGCCTGTGCATGACTGGCTGTGGAGAATGGAGAGATTCTGGACTTTGGATATTGTCATGGGTTTTTTTGCATATGGGAAAGGTCTTCTTTCGTGATGCCTGTAGCATGGCTTTGTCATAGCTACATTATATAAGTGGCCTCTCGTTGGAAATTACTGCCACTCTTCACGCCCTTGCTGCACATGTGCACGCACATCCACTGTTGTGCTATCCTGAATCAAAATCCTCTTTCTGCTGCTACCTCCTCAGTTTCCACACTAAGGACAGAGCTAACACACGTTTTCATACCAGATAACAAAGTAAAAGGGTGAAATGAAGAACAGAGATTTGCCCAAGACTTGCATATACCTTATGTAAAGAAAACAAATAGATGCCCAGTCATAGCAACATCCACTCCAACATGAGTACCAAGTACTGTGGCAGCATGATCCCTGCATTTAATTTGTGATGGTGTGCTCTTACCATCTCCAAATGGAACACAGTCAATGGACACATGCTGAAAACTGCAAGCAAATTTATTTTTTTTAAGTGACATAACCTTCAATTTAATCCCACGCAAATTGCTTTGATGATCTTACCCTGAAGTTGTTTAAGAGGAATAATTGCTGAAAGCTACAATAATACATTAAAAATCAAGAGGATTTTCATAGTTGATTCTGGGTTTGGGACTGTCTTAGAAAACCCCAGTATCAAAACTAAATTTGAGGGAGTCTAAAGGCAAGGACAAAAGCAGCCGTTGGCACCATAGTCTGTAAAACCCTCACTGCAAAATCAGCAAAATTATTTAGCCTGGAAAAATATGAAAGCATATTCCACATTAATTGGTCTGGTGATTCAGGGATGGACATTAAATCTAAGTCTAAACATGATCAACAGCACAAAGACAAACTCAAAGCAGGTATGCACCCATCAGAGGACATATAAGAGGCCCATGAATAAGCTACAAATTAAATAACATATTACAACAGAGAAAAAGGGGAGATGGAAGGGGAAAGGACACAAGAACACACAAGCACCAAATACCCCTGGGGTGGAGAGAGATGAAGAAACAGGGAACTCGTTACCTTTCAGCTGAAAAAGATGACAGGATAAAAAAAATAAATATATTAAAAAATAAAAAGATCAAATTAAATGAACGTGAGGGAGGGTGGGAAACCACAACAAAAGCAAAGGAAAAATACTCATTCAAATGCTCAGATTAATCCAAGAGATAAAAACTGCAGAGGGAATAAGGACTGCAGGAAATAACCACTGCCTTCATGCCTACAGACACCTGCAGAGTTAGGCATGACTACCCCTTAGAAGTACATCGAAAGCAAATGCTTTTCCCACCCCTAGGCCACAGACAGAAACAAATGCCTTTGAGTACAGCAGAAGCAACAACAAGAAAAGAGGTGTCAGGGGTTGGTATGAGGTGTGCTTCCGGAAGGAGGTGGGCACAATAAGAGCATCCGTAATTCCAAGGTGTCTATCCCAAAACCACCAAAAATATTGCGTGCTGGCGAGGGGCATGGGATTCTAAAGCTCATGTTGATGTTGTGGAGCTGGTTCACCATGCACAGCAGGCACAGACTCTCCCTGTGAAAGGAAAGCAGGAGACATGAATAAGGAACAAAATGGCAAAAATGAGATCTGTAACCAAATTAACTAGTTCATGCAAAGGGAGGGATACTAACATGACAGAGCATCTCAGAGATTTCAGAGAATTAAACTGATCCTTCACCAGCTTTATTGCCCTTCTCTGGACATGCTCCAGCACCTTAATGTGTTTCCTGTAGTGAGGGTCCCAAAAGAGAACACAGGATTTGAGGTGTGGCCTTACCTGTGTTGCATACAGGGGGAAAATCACTTCCCTGGTCCTGCTATTCCTGATACAGGCCAGGATACCACTGGCCTTCTTGGCCACCTGGGTACACTGCTGGCTTATGTTCGGCTGGCTGTCAACCAGCACCCCCAGGTTGATTTCTACCAGGCAGGTTTCCAGCCCCTCTTCCCCCAGCCTGTAGCATTGCAAGGGGTTGTTTTGACCCAACCAGAGAAGAAAGAGCAAGGATTATCCACAGGCAGTGACCCCTGCCAGTACAAAGGGATCTTAGCATCTGCTCCAACTAGGCATTCATCTGAATCTATAGCAAGTAAGAACTTTCCATAGTCATTGCTTTTACTAATAGTTAAAAGTGGTACAGAACAGCAATTTCAGCGGAACGTGAAAGTGGTGCATGGGAGAACATTACCAGGCCCTTTACAAGACAATGGCTATTTTTTGGTTTCTAATGTGCAACAACTAGATACTCTCTTCTTGTCAGTATTATTTGGAGAGTTAATAATCTAAACTTTTCTCATTCATTGATCTCCCCATTGTGTCATCACCTCAACACCTTACCTCTAAGACAGAATGACAACTATTTAACAATGTTTATAAAGTACTTGCCACTGTCTCAAAGGTAAGAGCTGCTGCCCCTGTTAGGATATTTAGTCTAAGACAGGCTAGCCTGTAGATTCTGGATTTCTAGGGAGCTGTACATATTCCTTTAGCAAAGTATGAGCTGTTCAGAAATTCCATGTGGCTTCAGAAGGAGGGAGGAACTGCCAGAGCCAACGCTGTATCTTCATGGTGGACAGGAGAGCAGAGCCTACTTTGGGAGCAGGAGGGTAGGGTGGGCCCCATGAAACTCCACCCAAAGGCTATGTAGCTGTTGTACCTGGGTAGGCAGGACCTTCCCCGCTTGCTGAAGGAGACAAAGGATAGTTTGTGAGGATGACCTCTCACTCCTGTCCCCTTCCTCTTCCAAGTGGGAGCAACCATCTCTACCATCTCTACCCCTGTGAGAAGTACCCTTCCCTTGGCACTCAGCCTACCTCCACTGGGACTAACTAGCTGGAAGCTGGCAATGCAGAAGAGGGTCCAGCCTGAAAGGGTGAAGAGTATGCAATTCCAGCCCAGGAAAGGGAAAGTACAAGGTTTTTAGGAAGATGTCCTCAGGGAGGTGACAAAGGAACAGCGAGCCTTGGATGATGACACACAACTTTTAACCTTCTCTAACGCCACCTACATTTCCCTTTCGCAGAGGCCAAATGACTCTTGCTGTTTTCTTTGCCCAGATCAGTTTCAGACACTCATCGCAGGGCTCACGTGTAGTGATGAGTTCAGCATTAGACAGATCTCTCTCAGAACTGAAAAAAAAATAAAATAAAATATTGTCACAGTTACAAACAAGGTGTGCTTGCAGGAGGAATTAGTTTTCTTGGCATCTAGAGTGGGTTCTTCTTTTTTTCTTCTATCCCTGGCTAAAGGAAGTAAGGGATCACCAGTCCACACAAAGTAAACATTTGCAGCATATACCATGAGTTTGCCACCTTAGGAAGTGGTGGATTTTAGAATATAAGATCACAGAGACCTAGACCTCTGTAGAAAACAACTGGACTCAGTGCCTTATAAGACTAAATTATTTTCCATGCTATGTAATATTACTTCTCCTTTCTATGCTTTGGAAATTCCCATGGTAGATTAGTCAGAGAGATAATTCTTCATTAATGAAGCACTCAACACCAAGACTTTTTTTTTGTCTAACTTCTTAAGAATATGTAATTAGTTCCTACCTCATAATAATTGAATTAGCTTCTGCACATACAACTGCATGCTTGTCAAAATCAACATCTGCCTTCTTGTAAAATAAACTATTCATTGCCCCTTTTGGATATCCACTGTAGCCCAAGGCAACCTAGAAAGAATCAACATACAAAGAAATAAAAGTTAATGTTGTTCTGGGACCTTTAGGTATTTACAGCCTAATCCAACTCCTGAAACATGTTAATAACTTTGATAAGAAGCCTCATGTGATACTGTTTGGTAGTATTTATGCAGGTTTCCATTTCAAGATGATTGATTGTGGATCCTAATCATATATTTTTATGATATGTGAAGTTTCAGAAAATCATGAATATTTTTCCCCCAAATGATAATTTCTGTTTCCAGAAACACATTTTCCAATTAACATGTAATACAATGATTATAAACAAACATCACAGAAGTTGATTAGGAAGAAGAAAATCAAAACAAAAGAGGCTGCTAAACCCAAAGTCACCAAAAAGATTTGGAAACTGTTAGCTACATTTTTTTAGCTGTGTCCATTTGGAAACATATAAAATATAAGCACAGAATTTCAATATGATAGTAGTAACAATGTCATCAGGACATCAGCTCATAAAAGTTCAGCAAATATGGGACTTAACCTCTTCTAACTGCTGACAGTATATTAAATAATCCATCATCTTAATGTTCTGGGAGAGAGTTAGGGAATATAAACTCTTTTTCTTCCCCATAAAAGGTTGGTTTATGTTATTGCAACTTCACTAACATTTTTTTTTTTTAAGAAAGTCCATACGCTGCAAGTTAACTTCCTCATTTAGCTGCATAAACACAAACCTAGTAAACTTAGAGTGCATTTCTTATAGCAGAAGTGTGCTTTTCTAAACATTTCTGTTGCTGATAATTTATTACATAGCAGTCTTACGTGCATTACTTTCAGGTGACAAGAGATCATGATTAGAAAGTTTTATAAGTGCAATTTTCAATGCCACATAAATTTTTACTTACAATGTTGTCTTCTTTGTAAATCACTGTCCCCACTCCATTGTTATTGTCTGAGGATAAAAAGTCAGACAATCAGAGTCACAAATTCATACAACACTATGATATTACAACAAACCTGCTGGTCAAAAGATATAACATTCCTACTCATGCCTGTTTGTCCTATTGGGATAAAAGTTGCTGCTTCTTGCTTGACTACCTCCAGAAAATATTGAACAAGGTAAAGTGCTGACAAGAAGGCTAATCAAACATTAGGCTAATCAATGCACTTGCCTCCAGTCCTTGTTGGTCTCTGTCTCCTGTAGTCCATTTCAGTTGCCTGATCTAGTCCTCTTGTGTAGAAATGCCAAAATCTCAGACCTTCCCCACTGCTGGGACCAGCATGTTTTCTATCGTTGCAGTTCAGAAAGAATTTAAAAACTATTTTCTCTGTCTGAAAAGCAAGTCCTGTTGGACCTTCCTTAAGGCACAGGCACTGATATCTACAGCCCAGGATATCTTCCTGCCTCTTCCCCCTCTGCAAGAGGAAACAATACCCCAAAATTGTCTTCTGTGGGAATGGGAAGGGAAAGCTTGAAAGTACTAAGCCAGGGGAGCTGCTGCAGTCATGGTCTTGACAGGGAGTCCCTGAGCTCTGGCTGGTGCCATAAAACTCCACTTCTTTATCTATGAGCAAAGAGCAACTGCTGCAATGATTAAATTCAGTCAAAATCTGCAATACTTTCTCTTCCATAAAGCAGCAAAGTGCATTTAGCTAACAGGAGCAGAAGCATTGGGAAACAGCAGAAGGGATTTGGGATAAACTGGAAACCATCTGCTATGCTGCTGAGTGGACCATATTCTCACTTTGCACTTTTCGGTGGGACTGAACAAAAACCAGCTTTGTTTTGATGAAACCAACCACAACCAGCCAGCCTAATGGACAGTGTGAGAAGGAAACAGATAATTATGTCCAGTTTTGTTTTCTTTTTACCTGTCATAGCAGTGTTTCTTTGCTTTTGCAAACCTATAGTGTAAAAAGAGAAAAGCTTGCCAAAAGCTACCCTGGAACTGATGGCCTGCCATTTGGTACCATGGAGAAACTGGACCGAACCAGAGTCTCTTGCAATCAGCCTAAGGAGTTAAAAATCCTCACCTGGTGAGGAAGACAGGAGAAGCACACTCCTCTTCTTCCAGTTTGGCTTGCATTATAGAAAGAGGGATACTAAAGTTGGCTAGATATGTAGTTTCATGAATTACCAATCAAAGGGTTTTTTCCATATATTACATTTCCAGGACTATGACTAACAATTATGTAGGATTTTTCTGCACTGAATGAATTACTCAGCTAAATTTAGCAATACTGATATACTTACCACTTCTGGATGCTAATAAATCACAGAGCTGTATGGCATGGGTGTATTTGGGATTATTCATTTCAATGTATTTCTTCTCTTCTAATTTTAAGATTATTATCTTTTCATCTTTGCACCTTGCCAGAGTTTGAAAACAGTTCTTTGCTGTAGTAAGATTTTTTTTATATTCTTCCAGTTGGTCTTTTTTCTGTTGGCATTTTTTCAAGTGTTCCAAGTTCAAGTACTTTAAAATATTTCCATCAATATCCATTGTTGTAACATCAAATACAGATGTAACAGGGCTTAGATTATCATCAGAAAACACTCCTTTGTTTGAATTAAGTATTTGCATCTCTTTTTGACTGTCTATTTTTGGCACATTTGGTGCTGCAACAACATAGCTTTCTGTAAAGATGGTTTGAGCATGTTTTACTGAATCATTCAATGACTCCCTTTTTGTCATTTCACTTTCAAAATTTGGCCAGTAATTCACTTGTGAGACTTGTGCTGAATAAAGAAAATATATATGCAAGATTAATATTTAATATAAAATATACTGTTGGTAATTTTTTCATTAATAAATATAAAGTGATAAATAAATTTTTCATTAATAAATATAAAGTGATATAGAATATACTTAAGCTGCAGCTTTTCATCACATTAGTAAAATAATATTTAAATTTTTTTATTACCACATTTTTTTCATAGTCAAAAGGGAAACTTTATATAGAATTTATGACTTTTTTTTTCCCCAGGTGATTAAACTTTTGTCTCTACTTATATTTAACAAGTAGTAAAAATTTCCAAAACAAGGAGATTGTTTTAAAAAGATAGTAGAAAGTTACTGAAGTTATTGTAGAGGAAAAATATGTATATCAATTAGGCATCTAAAACCCCCAGAAAATTCAATATATAGGTAGTGTGTTGTCATTTGTGAAGTACCAAAGCTTAACTTGTCTGCAAAGAAATCTACCTATTTCCCTCACTATCCTAAATACTAGTACCTGAGGTATATTTCTCATCTGATAAATTCTCAGATAAAAATGGCTATTTTCTTTTTTGTTGTTGTTGTTGATTTTCTATGCATTATTTTTTCAGGATTTCCAGGTTCCCTGAGACCACTCCTTCAATTTTTTTTTCTCACTTCACAGGCATCTCTACAAGCAGTGGTGGTTCCTTTTCAAATCCAATAACTTGCACTCTTCATGATCCATGGTGTTAGTAAATACCAACAATTTGTACAACGACATTATGAATCACATCTTAATATTCTCTAACAATCACAGGTATCTACTGTTAAGCTATTTAGCTACATCAGCTTCTCACAGTGATCTGAATGAATTGCATAGAATCAACTGAAGAAAAATGCAGAGATCAAAACGGAAGAAAACATAGAGGATGAGAAATGACTGGCATGACTAGTTTCCCAGCCTGTGAATATGCCACATGTGCACCCTTAGTCTAGGAGATATTCAAGTTCTGATACTGACCTTGAACCAACAATGTTGCACAATTATTACAAGGCATCCTGGACATGTAAACCTCACAGCCTTTCAGTGCATTAGGAAACCTTAACAGCACTTTTGGCACAGCATGGAGTTCCTCTGTTGAGCAGCCCAGGGCAATAATCCTTTTTGGCTTGCTTGCTTCACAGACGACGATTCCAGTTGTGTAAGGCTGCATACACAGACACAAAGAAATGAATGTGTAAATCAGAGTCCATCCAGTTATGTGCATGTAAAGTAACAGCAATCAAAGGATCTCATAGAAAAAGAATGGCATTTGTTGCCAAAGGGTAGGGATCAAGCAGTTTAGAAGTGTGCTGGTTCACGTGGATTTTTAGTCAGTTCTAGTGTGGCTACAGCACATAACTCAGCTGTAGCATTCAATATCAGCAGCACAAATGCTTTGACCAAAGTCAGACAGACCTTTGGAAAACCTGTAAGTCCATAAAATCATGAAAAAAGTAATGAGATGAATATCCCAATACCTGCTCAACAGCAGACTACTAAAACAGAAGAAAGGAGTGTCAAGACGCAGTTTCAAAAAAAATGCCAACACTATTCAGAAGAACTCAGAGTAGGAAGCACCAGACATCTGTGTAGCTTCACAACCTTGAACAGCTTTGTACGCCAAAAATTATTAGAGTCCAAGCATACAATCCTAACTACAGGACTGTGGTACACACGTGACCCATACTGGGTCAGAGACACTCCTGAGGGACCACAGCCAGCAGATAACCCATGAGAGGTCAGGGCCAGTAAAAGAGCAGAGGAAGACTGTAAAAAAAGTACAGAGGAGTTGCAGACGAAGCATCACACACAGCTGCAACTTCCTGCACCACTCATCACCTCACTGAAGGTCTTGGGACCAATTGAGAGTAGCCTGCAGTGAAAAGAATGGAAACTGAGACTAGGAAGGTGGGAAGGTAGGTGTTTGGGTTAAGGTAAACCTCAAAAAAAAATGGAGGAAAGGTGTTTACTTTGGTGCTTAACTCCTTACATTCTTTTTTCCCCTTAATATCAAATTCAGTAAACAGAAATTTGCATTTATTGGAAATAAACTGAATTGAGTAAAAATTCCTCAAGTTTAGATGATTTTGCCTTCAACGCCAAGTCAGTAATTTTAAAATCAAGATCCTATTTGACAATATGGCTTTTTTAGCCTTAGTACCAATAAATATGGTTGAGATCACATAACTCACGGGTTTCTGCGATTCACTTGGTGAATTTTCCATATGTAGAGCTAAAAACATGCACAAGTCTTCTTTCTTCAGGTAAGGAGCCAGAGGACCTAGAAAGAAATAATGGACAGAAAATCTAATCTTGGAGAAAAAGTAGGTAATGTCACAAAATTAGTAAACAATTACTGGTAAAAGACAGAAAGCATGATTTTCTAGCTCTCCAGTCCGAGGTGAAAGGTCTGGGAAAGCAGCTCCAACTTCTACGCATGCTGAACTACAGAACTGTTTCTTAATAATGTATCAAAGCTCAATGTGCCAGTTACCCTGTAAAGAGTCTTGTCTTTGCACTTCACTCATCAGCACATGCACTTAGGCCTGCCAGTCCTCTGAGGAGAATCCTAATGATCATCCCAGCAGCTTTGGCTTGACAGAATGCAGAGGTATCCTGGATCTCTTTGTTTTTCTGGTTTTGTTTGTTTGTTTGGGGTTTCTTTACGCTATCTACTCTTTTCTGCTGGCATAGGGAATGATTTCTATTGATTTCAAGAGGGAAGAAGCAGCATGTGATTATCCAATATCTGAAACAGCCAATGTTATTACTCTAGGTCATATTCTTCTTCAAAATTGCTATATGTCAACTATTATAGTACAAAATCTTCCCTATTTAGGTCATATTTTTTGCTAAGATTTCAATAACATCAGGTAAGACTGAAGAAAAAAAAAGGATATAATTACTTTCACTTAAAGTAAATTTAAAATTAAGACAAACATGCTGCCAGAGAGATATGTCAGAAGTTCATGCATCGGATGTCTGTGCTGTGTAATATCCAGCTCATTGCTTTCAGGACAATTATATTTATTCAACCCTATTTAATGAAATGAAACTATGATTATTAGCTAAGCATTTACTAAATTTATTGCACTTTGCCTTCATCATTCATTCCTTCTGTTCCTCCATTCTCTTCTGAGTCACTGGGCACTGGAAGACAGAAAAGAAAAAGGTTAGATTAGAAATAACAGATATAAACAGGTGACATGAAGTACAGCAGTGTATCAGCCCTCCTCCTGTCGTTATCAACACTAACAGATTATCCACTGTTAGTTGGGCATCTCAGAAGTCACAATTAGTTTAGAACAATATTTGATAGTCAGGACATCATAGTCCAGCCTCTGACACTTTATTCAGAAAGAAATTATAATAAAATGAATGGAAATTTCACAGATATAAAACAGATAACTGAATGTCACGTAGAAATAAATATGGCTCCCCAACAGCTGGTGGTGGTGACAACGGGATTGGGTTGGGCTTTTGTTGTTGAGTTTTCTGTTGAAAGTTTGATTTTTCTGAATTTCCATGAAGTTTGAACAAATCCATAATGCTTTCCTCAAATACAGAAAGGCCAATACCTACACTGTCCCCTCTCTCCCTTTGCTTTCACACTCAGGACTGAGTCTTCTGTCTTTGATACCGAGTCTCTGCTTGTTCATTTCTGCCATAATCCTGTCATCCACTTTATGTGAACTTTATCATCCTGGTTCTCACTCTTCCCATGAGCTTGATTTCATTTTACGGCAATTATGTACTGCAAATATGCACTATTCTCCTTGGTTTTCTCCTCCCCTTACTCCTCTTCAGTTATGTAGTCTTCCCCAAGTCACTTATCCATTTTATCTTCACACTCCATGGAGATCTGCTCAGCAACTTTTTTGGAGTTTCTATCTTCTAATTCCAGTTTTGTTCCAATTCTTGATTTGATTTCAAATCCATATTCCCCCTCAGCAAGAGCAATGGTGCTTCAGCTTATAAATCATTAAGATTCCAAAATTTTAGTTCAGTACTGATTTTGCTTAAACCAAGCAAGGAGTACAAAAGAAGACTCAAACCCAGTACCTCCAAAGTTCATCCATTTAAGGCTAGAAGAAATCCAAAGAAAAGGCTTGAAATAAGAAAACTATCATGAAGGATGCTGATTAGCCATTTGGGGGAAATCTAAAACTTACTGACTAAGAGATACAGCAGAAAACCCAGAAAGTTGCTATATCATTCCTCTGTCTTTACAACTGTAACCAGTTATGGGATCTGGCCATGTACAGACCTCAAGGACAGAATTTCTGTGTAATTCTGCCTTCTGCATATTGAGAACTATTGTGACAGAAGTGGTATCTGCAGGGTACAGATATTTATAATAGTATGAAAGGAAGGCTGGAATGAAGAGAACTAACTTAAGGGTAACTGTGTTCAAGTTACAGTAATTATATCCAATTTAGAACCAGATTTTTTTTTTATTTATTACATGCTGCAAAAGGGGCTTTAAAGAAAAATAGATAGTAACACGCCATGCTTCTAAACTTAAATATCAAGTAATACCAAGACAAATGGAACAGTACAAAAGGATGAGGAAATTAATCTTAACCATACCTGATTTAGGTTGAGTTTCACACTTTGTTTGTTTCCACTGAAAAAAACAAATGAATAAACTCCTAATAAATTTATTTAAAGCATAAGTGAACATTTAGTTAGTACTTTCCACAATTTGTCTGCTCAAATCTGCCACTATATCTAACAGCTATTAATCAATCTATCATGAAGATTTCTTGGACCACAGGACAAAGATGGGTCCTTGAAGTCATTCTTCTTTATTCCAGTTCTAAAGCTTTTTTCTACAGAGAAAGATAAAAGTCAATCACACAGCCTACTCTCCTCCAACCATTTACTCAGTTCGTCAGTAGTCTTGAGAGTCTCAGTTCCCTCTTTTTCCAAGTCAGACTGCTTTACTTCCATCAGATGTATCTGATGGATCTTCAAAAGTGAAGCAATATATTTCTACATCACCTGCTTCCACATCTGACATGCCTTCTACCTGCTGAATTATTTTGTTATTACATACAGGAATGACTGGCTCCGAAAACTCCAATCACTTTCAAAGTTATGACTGAAAAGCTCTGATATGAATAATCAGGTGAATACATACTTATATATGATCAAACACTCATGAGCGCTCAATGTATTTTAAAAAGCTTTCCATCTAATGCTTTGTAAAAACAACAGGAAAAAAAAACAAATGAAAACTCCCCCCAGAATGATGACATATCAAAGCAAAATAGTCCATGCTTTTATTAAATGAATATTCAAAAGTATTTCAACAACCCTTAGTCTAATCTTCAAGATGCAAACCTACCTCATGATAGTCAAAGTTTTTCTTTAATTCTTCAACAATTTGCTTTTGATCTTTCTAAAAGAAAAAAAAAAAGAAAGAGAAAGTTAAAAGCAAACAAATAAACCAGGCAATCACAGAATCACTGAGGCTGGGATCCATCTCTGGATGTCTCCAGTCCAGACCTCCTGCTCAAGGCAGGATGAACTAGAGCAGATCTCTTGCGGCCGTGCCCACTCAGGTTTTGAATATCACCAAGGACAGGGGTTCTACAACCTTTCTGGGTAACATGTTCTAGTGCTGATTTCCTCCCAGCAAAAAGGCTTTTTCTTCCATTTTAGTGCAATTTTCTGTATTTCAAATTGAGCCCAATGCCTCTTGTCCCATCACTGGGCACTACTGAGAAGGGTCTGGTTCTGTCTTTTTTACTCCTACCCATCAGGTGTTTATGCACATCCATAAGATCCCACCAGAGCTTTCTCTTCTGCAGGCTGACCAGTCTCAGCTCTCTCAGCCCCTTCTCATATGAGAAATACTCCCATCACTTAATCATCTTCATGGCCTTTAGCAGGACTTGCTCTCCCATGTCCATATCTTTCTCATACTGGGGCAGTCAGAACTGGACACAGCACTCCAAGCACAGCCTGACCAGTGCTGATCAGATGGGAAGGATGTATATTCTGCTAGAGCTCCTCTCCTACATACAAGAGCAAGAACTGATGTGTTCTTCTGTATGTCAGCTATAACTAAACTGACTCCCCTGCCCCCAAACACATAATTACATTATGACAATAAATAATAATATTACAGATGCATACTTTGTTAGTTTCTTTGGATGATTCTTCTACACAGTGAATTGTCCTGATTTTCACATCCTTCAGAAGTTTCTGACAATCAAGACAGGGAAGTTTGGTGCTGTAAAGAACATCAGTCTCTTCTATTTTCGTTTTTGATCTGAAAAATACATGTATTTGCACAATTAATTCCATTTCTGCAAAGCTAAAACTAAACGTGATGCTTACATTTTTAAAAAGAAATTTACTGTTTTCACTGAAGACTATTATTTCTGATTAGATTATTCTCTATTTCCTCCTTCAAGTTTTCTATTTCATCTTGATTTTACCTTCTAACATTTGATCTTTGTTGCTTCCTCCACTTCTGTGTATATTAAAGTGCTATTGTTATGAGCCATATGGTTTTACAGACTAATGATTCTCTAAGTACTGATAGCTAGAGTCTTAAGTGATCTCATTGACTTGACACTACTCTTGTTAGCCTAAGGACCACCAAAAAGACTGCCAGGCAGAATGCTGCAAACTGTGTCTTTCAAAAACTGTTCAGAACTTTGTCACGACGAGACTGGATGATTATTTTGGCAGTGCAGGAATACAAGGTGAAAACACACCTTCTTGGAAGAGAGGAAATGCACACATTGAAATGTTGATTGTAAGCTCAGAGCTGTAAAATGTGAAGTCTTTGAAACTGAATTAGTAGGTGAAGTACAGATGGAAAGGTCAAAGAGAAAACCCACGATTAGTTACTGACCTATTCACTTTACACACTATTCACATTCAGTGTAACAAAGAATACCTGCAAAGTCACTCTATTATGAGATTTGTAACAACAACCTGTATAGGAGGACATTTGCTTCAGCGTGGAGAACAACACTCCGTTTCACATATGGAGTTCTTTGGCTCTTTCTTCCTGCAGAGGGCAAGTTTGCATATAATATGCCAATGGGGTATCCATTATAACCTGCTCCAAACTGCCAAAAAAAAAAAAATGAAATAAAATAATCAGAAGTTAACAAACCCTTCCAAACATTTTAACCCTCTACTAATACAGCTTCAAAACCTAAATATATGCTGTATAAATATTTCTAGGTACACATAACTTGTAAGTTTTATAGCAGTTTATATTAGATTTTTAATCAGCTTTAACACCTGGTCACGAGCATCCTACCACCCTACCATGTTACCTCTTTTAACACAGTCAAGAGCTAATTTAGTTTTTGCATGCAGTGAAGTCATTGTTCCCCATCAATTCCACCACAATCTCTTTGTCTCTCCCTTTGCAAGAAACTTAGGATCCTCTTTTTTAGTGACCTCCACGGATTATTTTTTAAAGTTAAATTTAAAATATTGTTATTACTATTTTTATTTATTATGGGAGAATATGTTCATGAGAGAAGTTCATCTCTCTTAACTTCTTTACATGTTTATACCTGACTAGTCACCCTGAATCCCTTTATATTCAAGAGAGAAAATCAAGTCTACCTGGGCTATTCAGACTCTGGATTAGGATGAATGACAGTCTAGATCTCTACTGAGTACAAAGGGGAGTCAGGGCAAATAACTCAGAAGGCAGCACTTACACTGCAGATACCTACATTGTGTCAAAGAAACAAGGCTCCTTGGAACACTGAAAAGAAATTTTACAAGTGTAAAGAGAATTCAAAGTACTTACAAAATATCCATCCTGACTGTAGAGTGTACACCCCACACCTCGGTCTGGATCATCTTTTGGCAAAGAGAGATTTTTGTGTCATTAAAAACATACTTTTTTCATACTTAAAACCATATTTTACATATTAACATGTAGTACTTTAATGATATAAAAATGGAAGGCATAAATGACTGCCTATATGTTGAAAGAACCCCTCCATGCATACACATTATGCAATTCCAGACAGATATCCATATATAGTAGCATAATGAAGCATAACCAGTATCAAGTACAAAAATTGCCAGATTCCAGAATACAAAAACTTAAAATCCGACTTATGGTACACTTACTCTTTGATTAGTAATTGCAGGGTATTAACTAGATTAAATCCTGATAACAGAATTGTTTCCTCCCTCCAAAATGGATTAAGTGACAAAATATCTTTTTCTAGGTTTCTATAACATGTAGTGCCATCTTCTGCTTTATGTTTAAGCTTGGTATTGCAGCTCATAAACAATAACATTAAATATTAGTGTAACAAATAAAATAATGTAACAAATAAAAAAATGACAAATATTTTAGCAATTATGTTAGAAAAACATGCAATTTCTCTGATACCACCTTTGTTTGCACTAGTTGAATGAATCATTGGCAATAGTAAAAAATAAATATACAGTAATCTATGCTTTATATTTGGCTACTATTTTTTATATAGTCTCCTATCATAACTTACCAGATCTTGCTGCTAGAAAATAACAAAGCTGCAATGCATGTCGATGAACATTTTCCTCCAGGTTTCCTTGCTGGAGTTGGGAACATTCCATTAAAAAAAAAAAGCAATGAAAAGCATTTTTCACCCGTTTGACAAGCACATCTTTACTATCTTCACTGATACATATATTAAACAATGAACAATATTCTTCAAATTCTTTAGCATGATCATTGACCAACTTGAAATTGATGTTTAGCTGTTCTTTGCATCGTATTTTTGTGGTAATATTTTTCACTGTTTCAAAGCTTGTCATGGGTAAGAGCACAGTGCTGCTTATATGACTTCTGAGGAAGAGGCTGTCAGCTTGTTCAGTATCCTCCTTAATCACTGAATCATCTCCCTTTTTTTCAGGAGCTACTGGCCAGTAATAGACTGAAGAAACTGAACCTAGAAAGAAACATTGAAAGTCACTTAAGTGCCATTAGAGTTGGGTGAGACAATCAATTCACATGTTTTTTGTTTGAAACAGTGGGACAATTTTCTACTGCATTGCAATTCTGTGTATACACTAGTGTCCAATGGCTCTATAGTCACTCACACCTTAAATCACTCCCATTCCAATGGGATCTCAATTGAACATAGAACTATTGCAACAACTGCTTTTTCACTTTCATAAATGATCTCCCACGGTTTGCCAATCCTTTGTCAAGCAAGAATTCACCCTTGTGAGAGACTATTTACATTTTAAAAAAAATTATTTCATGACTAAGAAGGGATTTATTGGACTGAGCCACCTATAACATTCTTCTAGACATGATGTTTAGAGGGGTCATTTATGAACTTGTTATTCAGGTAGAACTGCAGTTAAAACAGATTTATTAAAAATGTATTATATACCTTGAATGAGGAATGTGGTGCAAGCTGTGCATGGTTTCCTGGACATGTACACAGTGCAGCCACGCAAAGAAAAGGGAAGACATCGAATGATTTGTTGTACAGCATGCAACCCAGATTTGGAGAAACTCAGGGCTACTATTTTGTGTACTTTGTCAGACTCACATATTACAATCCCAGTCTTATTGAACTGAAGAGGAAAAAAAAAAAGCAGCTTATTTTTCCTCAGCAAATTGGATTTTACAAGTATGCATGCTTTACACAGATTCAAAAATACACTATAGGTTTTGCCACATTGTATTACATATAACTGCACTTTAGTCCCACAATCTTTAGATCACAACTTCTCTTTATGAAAAGTTAATGCAAATGTGGTATGAATTGATTTTTTTTTCTGTGCCTTAGTTCTCAAAAAATCCAGTGCTGCTCCAATTAAGAGAAACATAGAAGCAGAACTGCAATCAATCAGAAAGATCAAACTATAGATTTCTAAAACACAGTCAGAGTAATTGGGGGCTTTAGCCAAATTTCTCCAAAACCATTTATATTCACACCACACGCACATACATATAGTTGCATTCTTTATAAATACCACACTAGGTGTGGTAGGGAAAAAAAGACAGGGCTATTAAAGTTGATAAATAATTGTTCAGGTTATTTAAATTTTTTGCACAGTAATGTCCACTGTTGCTACAACAGTGCAAAAAATAAATTATACTATCCCTAGATGCATCCTCCCTACAAAGCTGGCAGAGGCACTACGTGGTACCAGAACCTCCGAGTAATTTAGATGTGAAATGAAAACCTGCAGATTAATCCACCTTTCTTCAGAAAAGAACAGCAGCTTTGGGATTCATTGATGCCTCTCAATGAGACCGCAAACATGTATTTCCAGAAATTTCCCAAAGAAATCATAGCATTAAGCAAAGCAAGAGTGAATAAAGCAGTATCAATGATCTCAACAGAGACCTGCTACTGACCGTCTGACCAAAAGGAAAAGGGGTTTTTTTAATACTTCAAGCAATCATTCAAGAATCTTTTGATAATGGTAGACTAACTACTGGAGACAGCAGCTAGAAAAGTAATATGTTGATGATACACCTACAGCTCTGGAAATATTCCAGAGCCTATTTTCATTACAGTAACAAATGAGAAAAGAGATATTTTACATTTGATTCTAACACAGAAGAAATTACCTTAAATCTGAAAATTGAAAGTCATTTCAATAAAAATTATGAAAAGGATTTTGTAAGAACAGAATTATGCTAATTATTTCAGAAACACACACATCAGCAAATTTAAGGAACTTTTAGAAATTTTCTTGGTAAAACAATCCTAGGACTAAGAGAGTTTGACCTAGTAGAAGAGAAACAAGAGTGAGATATCCTAATGTAAAGGAAAAGTCAGTGAGACCTCTTTGGTTGAAGCAACAGGTCTTTGTCGAAACCAGAATCAGATAAAAAGAAAGGAAGTACAGGCAATATGAAGAATGAGCATAAAGGAATAGTGTAGCACGTACAGATAATATTAGAAAGACTAAATTACTGAAAAAATACAGGCAATTTTACCAGAAAGGCATACAGAAGGCAAAAAAGAATTGATAGATACAAACTTGCAGAAAGAAAATCAGAGGAAGCATAGTTACATTATACAGCAGGAAAGGAGAGCAAACAAGAATATGGAAAAGGCTGCACAGCAACGAGATGAAACCAAAACCAAGCAGAGCAAGATCCTGCTTTGGAAACAGAAACAAAAAAAAGCAAATACAATATAGAAATATCTGCTAGCCACAAGAGTCAGGACACTACTGTGCTTCAGAGACATTCATATGAAGAATTCTACTCCCTAAGATAATAACAGCTCCAAGGAACTGTTTCTGTGCTCCAAGGAGTACATTCACACTCTCCGTGCTGTCTACTACCATCCTAGCTAGGCTGTTGATTTGAACACATGAATATTCTTTTACCAGGGTTCTTCACTGGCTTTGTGCCATTCCTGATGGACACTGACAGCTCTGGCTAAATAACTGAAACTATGTGCATCTCCAGGATTATCGGGAACAGAAACTGAAACTGGTTCAGCACTCACTCAAAGGACAGAGGGAGGACTGGCTCACAGAACCTTTTACTATTTTAAATCACAAGAAAGCACAAAATAATCTTCGCTATAACCCTACATGTACACAACTGCACATCATTGTATCCTCATCTTTGAAGCAGGCAAAGTAAATACAACCTTGTGCCACTTTTCCATGGCAATCTCCTTCCATTTCATTAGAGGGTTCATTAACAATTAGGGCATCTTGGTATGCCCCAGTGATATCACATAGTGATTGGAAATGAAAAAGTTGGTATTAATTGATACTTAGGAATCTAGTATCTTTATATAATTTCATCAGATTACAGTGAAAAATTTAACAGCATCGGTCAGTACCAGTAACTTTTTAAAACACAGGACTGGAATGGACCACCTAACACATAAGTCTCACTGCAGCACAAAAGTGGCAAGACGTTTATGTTACAGAAGTTTTGCTTGATGGATATCATTAGATACTTTTAAAAGATAATTCTCAGTAAAATAACCAGCATAAATATTTCCTAGCAACGATAGCCTGTTACATACCTCATCAGATGGGGCATGACACTCTGGAGACTCCTCCATAAGACGAGCTAGAAACATATACAAATCTTTCTTTTCTAAGCGTATGCCTGAACGATTGACTGAAGGACTGACTGAACAGATACAAATAAGATCATAATTAGTAGGCAAATTCAAATAGGTTCTTGCAACAGAAAAGATGCTGCAGATTACTGCACTTTTGGTAATATGGGGAATGAAGGAAGAGTATCTGGTTTAAGGAAAATATAGAAATACGTAATTTATTTTTTTTAATGTATTGCACATACAGATTAACTGTCAGAAAATGCAAGTGAGACAGAGAAAAGTTTGTGGTGTTATCAAATGAGTGCACCACATATTGCCAAAGAACACTGTGCTAGTTAACAGGCAAAAAGTAATACCATCATCCAAACAACAAATATAAGAAACCCCACAGAAATCAAAACTGAAAGAAAAGCTCTAGGCCGTGGTTAAGCTCCTGCTGCTCATTCCATCTACAAAGAAATATCTCAACTTGAGATAAAGTTGTTATATCCTGGTTTTGTATTATTTCCTAAAGCTGAAGAGATGTGCCTGTTTCAGTTGACTACATTGAGGTGATTAACCAGAACAAAGAAATACAAACCTGTTGCCATGTCCTCAACTCCAGGTGTCCTCTTCCAATGAAAAAACTTATATTTGAAGTATAGCGCTGTAATAAAGAGAATATATGTGTCTGTATATAAATTTATATATAAACATGTCACATGAGTTTATTCATGTTTTAAAAATAATAAACACTCTTCATCTCACATAAGTGCACACAAAATATAGAGGAAAATCTGGTATCTTGCATTGCCATTCCCCTTTCTTTTTGCCAGAACAACAAATCTTCAGAAGAAACAAAACTAATTTGTGCCTTCCCCATTATTATGCATCTTACCAGTCCAATGACAAAGTACTTGACAGCATCTGTTCTTGCAAAACACCATTAGCACAAGCATTAGGTATTTACCATTGACAGATAACTCATCACTTCAGGATTCACCTTGTTTTTCTTCTTTCATTATTTTCCACCAAATCCTGGTGGTTCTTCCAGTATGTTTACCCTCAGTGTGATACAACAGAACAATTCTGTACTTCACTTACCTGCAGGTCTGTTACCACTCTTCAACGACAGGTCTGTTACCTGTCTTCACCGATAACAGCTTTCAAAGGGATAAAATGAACGCTTTTATATCTTCCTTCTCTTCTGTGAGTCATAGTTATGTATGTTTTGTTTTGCTTTCAATACTACCTTGAACCCACCCTGTCAATATTTGTATGCTATGTGAAGATCAGTGTGATGAATTAGAGAAGGTGGCCAGGACAACTAGCCCATGACCTGCGACCAATATGCACGGATAAATGCTTTCCCCTTAACCTAAAGTAATAAATTAAAAGAGAGATTTGCATTGGTATCGCTGTTTAGCACTCCTCAAATCTCTAATAAAACATCCTCAGGCCAGGTGAACAACTGGACAATCTAAACACCTATTTTATGATGTATATTCCCCTATGAAATACAGTCTGCCAATACTTACCTATGTCAAACATATACAAAGCAGCACTGTCCAATATTGGAAGGGTTTGCTATAAAACCAACATAATTTCTCTAAATTACTTAATACTATTTTCCATATTCAATCCTGCTGTTCACACCTTTTTTCCTTTTTTAATGACTACAGACTTCCTCTTACTACAGTGCTTTAGGGACGCATCAAAACGTACCAAGCAGACGGAATTTCTAAAGTTTTTTCATTATCTTTTAGTACTGTCACTACATGGAAGCAGACTCGTCGTTCTGTTAAACTGAAGCAGAAAGTCAGTCAATAGAAAGAGTAGACAGTTCTGAAATTTGATAGAGAAACAACTCTTTAAGTGTTGTTATTCTTGGAGTGGTAGTTCCTCCAGGCAACAGGTGACAGGTGCAAGCCTTCTCTCTCTGCAGCCATGCCAGCAGAGGGGATGTAATTCTGAACAATGCAACTGGGAAGCTCATGGGAAAGGAAAGTACATATGAAGATGCTGGATCCACTTTCCTATTAAATCAGGCCAAGACAGTGCTTTTTTAAAAAGGCTCCGCTTTTAAAATTAACAAATTCTGGAGTATGTAATTTCTAAAGCTGCAATGTTACTAATTCAAGCATCAGGTATATCCTTTCTGCCAGGCGCCCTACTCAAAACTGAGGGCTGGATTTCCAGTGCATGTATTTAAACCTGGAAGTGTGGTGGCTCTGCATTGGCCTGGGCCAGCAGTTCAAGAACCACAGTTGACAGAATATGTCATGGTAGTTCGGCTGGTTTAAAACCATCCAGCCTATGAGAAGAAATGGTAACAAGTCTCAAGAATCCACCTATTCTGTAGTTGGGTGGGGAGTTTTTGTTATTTTTAGGTGGGGTTTTTTTGTTGCTTTTGTTTCTTTTTTCTTGATCAACTTGATATTGGCTTTATTTACAGTGTCATTCAGGATTACAATGGTAATTAACTATAGGGGCTTACTGCTTCTACATCGTGGTGTCTTCAGACTATCAAACTGAAATAGGGTAGTACTTTCAGTAGCTCAGCACATCAAGCTATTCATATTAATTTCAGCTTCCAGATCCCACTTATATGCCTGATAATGAGACAACTCTATCCTAACCTCTGTTTCATAAAGAAAAATAAAAAACAGTGGAATCATTTCTACCTTAAAAAAAAAAAAAAAAGTTTTACATATCCTCTTAGCTCTCCAGACCAGTTTCTGTTGCTTGTTAACTTTGCCTTAAGAGAAACCATATGGAGGAAAAAGGTGAAGAGAAGGGGAAGTGAAGTTTGTCCACCTGATATACCTGCCTTCTTCCTTAAACGACAGAAGCACTAGAGCAAATTGAAAACATACACTTGGAAACACCAGTACCCAGCCATGTTTGCCTCCAGAGAAAAACAACAGAGCAGATCTGACAGTTTCTTTCTGGCTGCAGGAAATAAACTCCCAGGAATAGAGTAAGTAATGTTTCACATCTGATCTGTTTCCTGCCTTTTTTTCAGTAATCTCTAAATGGTGCAGACACACATATATTCACAAATTTCAACTTTTTGGGGGTTCTTTTAGGCACTAGGATGCACTTCTAATACATTAGTAAAAGGGGTTTTTTTCTTTTTACAAGTAGAAAACAAAAAGGGGAACTAAGGTAAACACTGAAAATGAGTATTCCTTCTTAGCCTCATCTTGTTTCTCATATACCCTAAAACAGGTATGCTCAGGTAATCAGAAACAGAACTTGTTCGAATGTGAACAAGCAGTAACTAATGTGAAAGCATTTAACATGGTTAGAAAGGTGTGATTTGGAAATGAAGAAGAAAAGCAATTTGGAGCAGATATTTAAAAAAAAATCACAAACTAAAAGCATCTGTAAAGCACTGGGGGTCAGCAAAACCTAGAGGACTTGAATTAAACCTTATTGTGGCTGTTAGCAATGAAGAGGCAAAGGGTGAGAGGGCGTGCAGGAGGTAAACTCAAAGGGAGCTACTGGAGCATGAAAGCACATTCACTAGTTCAAACAGGGACACTTAGTGCAAAACAATATTCAAGTGGTCTTACACTTTGAAGGATGAATAAATAGCTTCCTCTTGCAATTACCAGTTGTTTTGGTTTGGTTTTTTTAAGGTACCAGAAAATTACAGATGGAGGAGTTTCAATAAATGGGAATCGTGTAACTAATCCTGAGACTGTTCTTATTCTTGGACAGCATATTCTCAAGAATGGAGTATCATTACTTAGGGTTGGAAAGAAAAATTACTATGTTATAAAATGGCTGCAGCTGTGACAACAGAGAATCTCCCTAAAACAACAGGTCATTTCAGCTCTGCTCCTTGAAAATGTTTCTGTCCTGTGCGTTACTATGCAGCTCACCAACTGCCCAATACCATCGATTTTCAAAATGCACCGAGTTCAAATAAGCAGCTGAGGTATACCAGTGAAGAGGTTTTAGATATTCTGCCTTATTCAAAGCACCATTCCTGAGAGGAGCTGCACAAGAAGACAATGAAAAGATTCATTTCAAAGTCCAAAGATGGAGATCGTTGCATCTCAAAGGAGGCTTCCCCTCCTTTATCAACCATGTGTTGGAGGAGAACAGTGGCTGGTTACTCCACAGGAGAACCCACAGCCAGATGAGCAAAATCATCCTCCAACCCAGGACTTCTTACAGCCAATGTGTGCTCACCTACCAGAGAAACCTGTGCCAGTGGGCAAGGACAACCAACCTGCAATCAACATGTTTGTTCACAACAGGTTTGCTTTGAAGGAACCTGCAGGAAATTCACAATAAAGGAAAAGAATGATTAAGCACTAATAAGATTCTTCTTGGTTATTTATGTATGGGGGCACATTGCACCAAAGCTGTCCAACCTTCATGTGGGAATACACAGCAAAATCACTTTTTGAAATGTGGAAATATAGAGCCTCTCAAAGCTTAAATCAACTTCATGAATCCCTTTTAAGCCTTCTGTGTGCATAGTATGACTTACCAGGTGAGTGACGCTCATTCCGCTTCTTGGTCCTCTGAATTCACTGGATACATCCCTGCTATCTGCCATCTTTGATAAAAGTATATCCTGGCACTAACTGGGCTCTACAGTCAGTTGCAAGATTGTATATTATACCACGAGATTTGGAGCATGTACAGGAAAGTTTTTTTTAATTTTAGGTGCCCAAGACTTGTGAGTGAACAGCACCACAAGGGTCTCTGGACCAGGAAACACACGAGGGAAGCTGTAGTGCTTTTGCATATAAAAAAGACCCTTCAGACAGTACAACATACAAAAGTTGCACTTCTGAATGGGAGAGCAGAAAGTGATTCTACTGCTTATGGCCTAGTCAGCATTTGGGATCATTTCTTCCTCATTTTCTTGTAAAGATGGCATGAAAGACAGAATGAACTCTAAGAGCTGGTAGAATTGCAATATCTACATTTAAAGGTAGAACTGCTTTACTGCTCCAACACACCTTCCCTCCTTTTTCTTACTAGCCACTACAGCTCCTTACACACATGGAATCAAATAAGCATGGAATACAATGCCTTGACAGATTCCCTTCCCCTGGTGAGGTTTGAGATTGGGTTGCTCAGGCAGTACAGGTGCATGAGTTGCAGTGCAAGACCAGATTTGGATTATGTCCAACTGCTTCGTGACTTAGAACACAGTAATGTAGTTGGCTGGCTCAGAGCTTCTTTAGTAAGGGACCCTCAGTCTGATATAGTGCTTTGGGTTTTGAGTGCAGTGTTGCTTTCAAGGATTAGGCCAGAGAGAATCATTTCCTGGTCCATATACTTCCTAGACAATATAGTCTGCAGTCACAGCAGCCACAAGGGGAGAGGTCTTAACCTGAGCTTCCTGAATGTGGTAACTTATCACCATCTCTTTTGTCATCAAAGTCATAGTTGTTCAGCTGGTTTAAAACCACCCAGGCTATGAGAGGAATGGGGAACTTCTAGTAAACTGGAACAAGTCTCAAGAATCCAGCTATTCTATAGTTGGGTGGGGAGTTTGTTATTTTTTTTTAGGTGGGGTTTTTTTGTTTATGTTTCTTTTTCCTTGATCAACTTGATAACGAGACATCTCTATCCTAATCTCTGTTTCATAAAGAAAAATAAAAAGTAGCTGAGTCACTTCTAACTTTAAAAAAGCAGCCTATACATTGTCTTCGCTCTCAGGACCAGTTTCTGTCGCTTTACCTTGAGAGAAACCATATGGAGGGAAAAGGTGAAGAGAAGGGAAAGTAAAGTTCATCCACCTAATATACCTGCCTTGTTTCTTAAACAACAGAAGCATTAGAGCAAATTGAAAACATACACTTGGGAACAAACTACATCAGTACACAGCCATGTTTGCCTCCAGAGGAAAACAACAGAGCAGATTTGATAGTTTCTTTATGGTTGCAGGAAATAAAATCCCAAGAATAGAATAAGTAATGTTTTATGTCTGATCTCTTTCCTGCCTTTTTCCTTAATTACCAAATGGTGCAGATGCACACATATGCCCACTTTTAATAAGTTAGTAAAAGGATTTTATTCATTTTTACAAATACAAAGTAAAATAAAGGGAAGTCACTTCTTTCAGACAAGGTTTTTAGTAACATCCATAAATTCTTAAGAAATTTAGTCTGTGCTTCCTTTTGACCAATTCCTAGCAAACTAAACTCTTCCCTGACTCGTTCCAAAGAAACAGCTGGATACACAACCACTACTTGCCATGACTGTAGAAGCTTATCACAACTATTTGAACACTTGGGCCAAGGATCAAGGATGACCAGAAAAATCAAGTATCCTTTCTTAGTCTGGTCTTATTTATCCTACACCCCAAAACAGATATGCTCAGGTAATCAGAAACAGAACTTGTTCAAATATGAACAAGTAGTAACTAACGTTAATGCATTTAACATGGCTACAAAGGTGTGCCTTTAAAGTGCAAAATGAAAGGTAATTATTTAAGACAGATGTTTTAAAAAATCACAAACCAAAAGTATCTATACAGCATTTAGGGTCAGCAAAATCTGGAGGACTTTAATTCAACCTTATTGTGGTATCTAGCAATGAAGAGGCAAAGGGTGAGAGGGCGTGCAGGAGGCAAACTCAAAGGGAGCTACTGGAGCATGAAAGCACATTCACTAATTTAAACAGTGTCAATGAGCACAAAACTATATTCAACGGTTTTACACTTTGAAGAATCAATCATCTGGCTCTCACCTCAAAGCACAGAGTTTGGCTTGAAACAAAAAGCTGACACTGGAGATCTTCAGTAACTCCTGAAAACACCAGCTACCCATCACCCTCACAGCTGAAGGATAAAACTGCAGGAAGAAAACCTACTCAAGATAATTCCATTCAAGTTACCAACAAGGCAGGGGCACAACAGACGGGCAAGCTGTTTGTCCTGCTGTAGCCCATAAAGCAGGGACCTGAGTCTACTATATACAATCTGGCATCTGTCAGTCAGTCCTCCACAAAGCATTGAGTAAAGGCAAGGTCTATTCTGTTTATTTCAGAATGAGGTTTGAAGCACACAGACCCTGCCCCTTGCCCATCTATTCCACTAAGTGAAATTTTAACCTGACTACTAAACACTGACAAACTCTGTTCACACAGTGATACTGTGTTTTAGTTATAGTAGTACCACACAAAGCTCAGGTACTAATGTCAGACATTTACTAATCTGAACTTGGCTACAGCGGTTTTTCCCCTCCATGACTGTGTTTTTCACTGCTGAGCACATTTAATTTATAAGGTAGCTAAAATTTGTGTATTGATGACACAATTATTTCTAGTTTGTATTAAATAAGGTGGAGTTGAAGACAATTGTAAAACATCAGACTAATTTTTCAGTTGTTGATCTCATTAGGCTTTTTCCCATGGCTGGCAGTAACAGTGGCATTTAAAGTACTCTAGTTTAATTCCAGAAAACAGCTTCTTTCAAACCTATCAACAGCCATGAGCATCCTGTCTACACTACTAGTTATGCAACTCTTCAAGAAGTAAGAATGTAGAACTACATGAGGGTGTAGAAATACAGGTAGAATGGACTCTCAAAGTTCTGCATTAAAGATTATAAACCGTGTTCATTTCTTGGCACTCAAACATTACCAAATTGAATTTTTTTTGTGAAAAAGTGAACATACAAAGTCTTAACATTTCAAAAAACAAATTAAAACTGTGGAAAGAAGAAAAGCTACTTACAGCACACAATAACATTTCCTCAAAACAACTCTAATCTCTGGTATAAATATTCCAGTTTCACAGACTTTCTTTCATACTGTCACACATTCCAAAATTTGAAGAAGTTGTGGGGACCCCTTCTTCCCGGACAACTTCATTCTTTCTGAAAGAAACACTTATTATCCCATTACAGTTTTGAAAACCATTTTTATTTTTTAGTTCTGCCAGAACAAATTTACAGGAGATGGTCCAGGGGCTTGGTCCCAGGGGAGAGGAAGGAGAAGGTGCCCTTGTAACTGACTCGGGGAAATGTGTGTGGACACACACACATAGTAATACAGCTGACATCTCTACTGTGCTATAAAACAGATACTTCCATCTATTTTATAGATCTTCTATCTGCTGTACTTCCATACAGTGCATACAACAGCACTGATTAACAACTCTGAAGCCTTCCATCTGCAAAAGATTACACAAGTGGAAATTACCGCAAAGCAAAAAGTAGTAAAAACTTAGCACAGGTGTCATTAAATAATTTCTCTAGAAAGACAACAATTAAAAATTAATTGAAAACTTTCAATTTGGAGCAAAAACAGCTCACTGTCCTCATTTTGAGCAACTTTTATATGATACAAGTAAGTACGGTCTCCACTTGGAGTTGACTGAAATTCTATGACTGCAACTAACCAGACAGTTCCTTATCCACCAAATCCACGCCTCTCAAATTTAGAGACATGGATGCTGTGTGGGACAGTGTCAAATGCCTTGTGCAAGTCCAGATAGATGACATCAGCTGCTCTTCCCTTGTAACCTTGTTGTAGAAAGCCATCAAATTTGTCAGGAACAACTTGCCCTTAGCGGAGCCATGCTGGCTGTCACCATTCACTTTTCATGTACCTTAGCATAGTATCCAGGAAGATCTGCTCCATGATCTTGCTGGGCACAGAGGCACGACTTCCTTTTTTCTCTTTTTAAAAAGGAGGGACTAGATTTTCCCCTTTCCAGCCAGTGGGAACTTCACCAGACTACCTTAGCTTCTCATATATGGATAGCAGCTTAGACACTTCATCTGCAAGACCCCCCAGGTTCTGTGGATGCATCTCATCAAATCCCATGGACTTGTGCACCTTCAGGTTCCTTAGACAGTCTCAAACCCGATCTTCTCCTACAGCAGGTGGTTCTTCATTCTCCTCATCCTCGCCTTGCCTTCTGCAGCTCTGGTGGTGTCACTTGCTACTGAAGACTGAGGCAAAAAAATCGTGGAGTACCTCAGCCTTCTCCATATCCCAGGTAACCAGGTGTCCCATTTCCCTTTTGAGAGGGCCCATGTTTCCCCTAATCTTCCTTTTATCACCCACGTGCCTATAGCTGCACACCAACATAGTTTAAGCATCCTCTTCCCAAATACTCAAGCTACGTAACACAGCTAATAAATACTGGTAATGCAGCTTATAAATTCTAGAGTCCATAAGCTCTAAAGCTCCAGTGTCACTAATTTAAGCATCTGCTACCTGTCCTGCTAGCCGCCCTACTACCAGCTGAGGGCCTCATTTCCCACGCAAGCATTTCAGCCTGAAAGCATCAGAAATCCCGGTATTTCGGGTTGGGGAAAGGAAAAAAAAAAAAAAAAAAGAAGCGGAGGAAGAGAAGCCAACAACACGCGGCGTGCCTGTGCGAATTTTCTTTAATACCGTGAAGGAGAACCACCAGCCGGGCGTTCAAGCCATTCCCGACCATCCAAGGCTCCCTCCGAGCTCCCTCCCCCCCCCGGGTCATGGCGGTGATCCCATGCCGATTGTTCCATCCTGTCCCTGTTACCCCATCCCGACTGACCCACCCCGGTTATCCCACACCGATTGTCCCATCCCGCTTATCCTGCCCCGGTTATCCCACCCCGGCTGTCCCATCCCGCTTATCCCACCCCGGCTGTCCCATCCCGTTCATCCCGCCTCGGCCATCCCACCCCGGCTGTCCCATCCCGCTTATCCTGCCCCGGTTTTCCCACCCCGGCTGTCCCATCCCGTTTATCCTGCCCCGGTTATCCCGCCCCGGTTGTCCCATCCCGTTCATTCCGCCCCGGCTATCCCACCCCGGCTGTCCCATCCCGCTCATCCCACCCCGGCTCCCCGCGCGGGGCGGCGCCGGCGCCTGCGGGAGCCCCTCCCCGCGCGTTCCCGGCGTGCCCCGCGCGCGATGGCGGCCCCGGTGGTGGCTCGGCGGTGCGGGCGGGCGGCGGGGCTTTGGGGCGGGCTCCGCCGGGCCCCGCTCCCGCCCCGCCGCCGGGCCCACGAGCAGCCGCGGCGGGCGCGGGGCGCGGGCGGGCTGCTGGCGGCGCAGTGCGAGCGCGGGCTGTTCCAGGAGGTGTTCCCGGCGCAGAGCGCGGAGGAGCAGCTGCCGGCGCTGCTGGCGCCGGGCCGGCCGCCCCTGGCCGCCTACTGCGGGTTCGACCCCACGGCGGACTCGCTGCACGTGGGGCACCTGCTGCCCGTCATGGCGCTGCTGCACTTCCAGCGCGCGGGGCACGACGTCATCGCCGTGGTGGGCGGGGCCACCGCGCGGCTCGGGGACCCCAGCGGGCGGGAGCGCGCGCGGGAGCCGCTGCCGGCCGGGACGGCGCGCGCGCACGCCAGGGCCCTGCGCGCGGGGCTGGAGCGGCTCTTCCAGAACCACCGGGAGCTGTTCTGGGACCCGGGGGCCGGGCGGCTGGGCCGGGCGGAGCTGCTGGACAACGCCAGCTGGCTCGGCCGGGAGCCGCTGCTGCGGTTCCTGGGCGGGGCCGGCGGGCGGCTCCGCATGGGCACGCTGCTGAGCCGGCAGAGCTGCCAGGCGCGCCTCCGCAGCGCCGACGGGATGAGCCTGGCGGAATTCCTGTATCCCGCGCTCCAGGCGTACGACTTCCTGCACCTGCACCAGCACCACGGCTGCCGCATCCAGCTGGGGGGCCACGACCAGATGGGAAACATCATGTCCGGCTACGAGCTCGTCACCAAGTACGGCGGGGCCGGGGGCGGGGGTGGTGCGCGTGGTCTGGGTACCGGGAGACCTGCATCGGGAATAGTGTGGCCAGCAGGACTAGGGAGGAGATTCTCCCAATGCTTGGCAGTGGTGAGGCCGCAGCTCGAGTGCTTTGTCCAGTTCTGGGCCACTCAGTTCTGGAAGGATGTTGAGGTGCTGGAGCGGGTACAAAGAAGGGCAGTGGAGCTGCCTGGGGGAAGGGTCTGGAGTGCATGTCCTGTGAGGAGCGGCTGAAGGAGCTGGGGCTGTTTAGCCTGGAGAAAAGGAGGCTCAGGAGTGACCTTGTAGCTCTCTACAGCTACCTGAAAGGAGGTTATAGCCAGATGGGGATCGGCCGCTTCTCGCAGGTAACAAGTGACAGGACAAGAGGACGCAGTCTTAAGCTGCACCAGGGGAGGTTTAGGTTGGACATTAGGAAGAAGTTCTTCACAGATGGAGTGATTAGGCATTGGAACGGGCTGCCCAGGGAGCTGGTGGAGTCACCTGGTGTTGTTTAAGGAAGGAGTGGATGTGGTACTGAGTGCTGTGGTCTAGTAGATGAGGTGGTCATAGGATGGACTTCCATGATCTCAGAGGTCTCTTCCAACCCAGTTGATTCTGTGACCAAGTGCTGTGCGACTTGGTGCTGACAGACACTAAAGCACCAGGAGCAGACGTCAACCCTCAAGAGATTTGGCCTTACATAAAACTGTGATTTGAGAGGAATAATTAATTGGCCTGACCATAAGCCTGACACATATGTACACTTTGGCCAGGGTTTAAGCGTTTTCTATGAATCGTTAATGAATTCTTAACAAAAAGGATGGATTTTTTATTAGTGGATCCAAGAACCAAAAGCAAATACCCTGAAGCATGGGACAAAATCAGGACAAGTCCTCTGCCAGCACATGGATCCTGGTGTGATCACACTGAAGTAGAGGTAGTTGTGGTATATTGGTCAAGATTGCTCCATTCCTTCTCAGAAATAAAATGAGATGTGACAATGATGCACTTTTTGCTTATCCACCAAATTTAGTGCGAGTTTTAGAAGGTTTGCAGGAGTATAAACCAGTGAGGATGTGGTAATGCTTCTACTTCAGTACGGGCTTGATTATTACAAGACAGAGAATGGGCACAGAGGAAAAGCCTTACAAGTGTCCCAGCCACACCAGCAGCTTCGATTAGTACTCGGGGCAGAAGACAAGGTCCTGCTAATGCTGTTGCCCATGAAACTCCTTCGAGTATGTCAACTTCTTTGATACACATAAAAGAACTTAGAAACTTAAGTTGTTTTTTTCCCTAAAGCACTCTTTTCAGAACATCTGTTCAGGCATCTTTTGCTCCTCACTCCCTGTCTTATTTAACTGCTTTATATTAAGGATAGGACCTTGCAGAATGTTTGTATTTTAGTCAGTTTTACCAAGATGTGATTTTTTTTTTAACAAGCAGTGCATCTTTTCTTTCTTAGGATGACAGGAACAGATGTGTTTGGAATTACTGTACCTCTTATTACCAGTACTACTGGAGATAAACTGGGAAAGACTGCTGGAAATGCAGTTTGGCTAAACAGAGATAAGACTTCTCCATTTGAGCTGTATCAGTTTTTTGTCAGACAACAAGATAACGTAGTTGAAAAGTAAGTTGTTCTTCATCTTGCTTTTTATCGTTGTTTATAAAACCTGATCCTAACTGTTCTCTGTAACTGTTTCATTTGGATATGTACAACACCAGCTCCATGTAGAAGTATATGTTAATTATAACTGTACATTCATTAAATAAACAAGCATAACTGGTTCCTAAGTATATAGGATAGTGGAACCCGTCATATGCATAAGAAAATTAGGAGGTGGATGAACAAACAAGTTCAGTGCATTTTGTTTGCCAGTGGGGTGACTCTGTCTTACAAGGTGTGTTAGTTTCTGTACTGAGCATCTCAGCATCAGTCAAGTCTCTCCTGCTGATTAATAAGCAACTGCACTTAAATATATATATTAATTACTACAAGTTTTGACTTAGAATGAGGTATCCAGAAGGACCACATTCTAATTGTGAGAAGCTGCTTAACTAGTTACAAACACACAGAGTTCAGCGTTTAGAACTGCAACTGCATGACATTCAAATCTGCATATCCTTAAACAGATCTGAATGTTGTCTTGTTAAGAAAAGCCAAGAAATTAATATTTATGATTGTATTAACTGTAGATCAGTGATCTCCAAACTTCTTTGATCACAGGCTCTTATCAGTGAAAGAAATTTTAAGCATTCACTCCCAATACATGTATATTTACTTATTTTTTTATAGAAGTGTAGTATTACTGAACTTCTAATACTTCCTTCCTGTACCCCTGTGGTCTTGCCTGCCTCCTAGGCTGCTGTCACCCCACTCTGGAGACCACTGGCCTAGATGAAAACATGCCTAGGAGGCAGTGACACTGGCAGTGTCTTTACTGGCAGTAGTGCAAATAAAAAGGGGACAAAGCTATTCCATTTTAAACTCTTGGCAGAGAGTATACAAGGAATATAAATACAAGTATACAAAGCAGAGGTTTTCAGGCACCAGTTTTGAGTCACTGTTGAAAGCAGTTAAAGCAAAAACTAAAGCAGAGGAGAAAAACAGAATGAACAAAATTCATATACCTGGTTAAATTACTAGTTCCATAAACCTATTCAAAGCTAGTAGTAGTCATAATTTAGCCCACCTCTGGACAAACATACCATTTATTTCTATTCATGTACCATAACTCACACAATTAAGCATTAATTAAATATCTGTCATATGGATTTCTTAAATGGATTAAGAATCATTTTAGTGAGTTAACGAAGTTCGAATGACAAAGGCAGGAAATCTGTAATGATGGCTATACAAACAAAATTTTTTTCTCTGCTGGTAGATACCTGAAACTATTCACTTTCCTACCTCTTGAGGAGATTGCCCACATCATGGAAATGCATGCTAAAGAACCTGAAAAATGGGGCCCTCAAAAACGACTGGCTGCAGAAGTAACCAAGCTTGTCCATGGCAGAGAGGGCCTAGAATCTGCTAAGAGGTGAAGTTTGTTTTGTCAAGCAGTTTTGTTTCAGATTTTTTTAAATGGTAATGATTCTCTTTTCAGAGACTATTTAAATGTATTTACTTGTTGCTTAGATGTTAAAAGAGAAAAATGTAATAATTCTGTAGACTTAAAAATACATTAAGGATATAAAAAAAATCCACAGGGCAGTGGGGTACAATAAAAAAATGGGGGTGTATTTTAAGTAATTCTCTTAGTTTGTGGACTCAGGAGAAATTGGGGAGAGGAATTTGCTTGTTTGAATAGCACTTTGTGTGAAAATGAGTCTGGCTCTGTATTTTGAATGATCTTTGTTCTCTCAGGTGCACTAAGGCCCTTTATTACAGTAGTGTGGAGGCTCTGGAAGAGATGTCTGACCTAGAGTTACAGGAACTTTTTAGACAAGCTCCTTCTGCTGAACTGATGCTTGAACCTGGAATGAGTGTTCTTGACTTGTGTCGCAAAGCAAATGCCATTCCAGATGGACCTAGTGGGTAAGTTCTCACCTGGTGCTCTACTCACTTAAATAGTTGTAGCAGTCTGGGGTCAGAAGTTAAATGATCAGGACAGCCAAATCAAGCAGAAACAGGCTGTGATCTACATAGCAGCATTAAAGAAGAGGCGAGCACACAACCTCATTCCATTTTGAAGTATATGCTAACACAGCCTTATGTTCCTCAGCTGTAAAATCTACACCTGATCAAGGGACAACCTAAAGCAACAGCCTAGGTTTCCCTACACCTCTCAGACAGAATTGGAGTAGTAGAGGCTAAAGTTAGCTTCAATCACTCTTGACCTGAACTGAAAATGAAGTGCAAGAGAATAAAAATTTACTCAATTATGGATCCAAGAAAAAAAACCCTTAAGTGGACTTTCAATACTTAATGGCAATAAGTAGTTTCCTTTTGCAATTACCATTTATTTTTGTTTTGTTTTTTTTTTAAGGTACCAGAAAATTACAGATGGAGGAGTTTCAATAAATGGGAATCGTGTAACTAATCCTGAGACTGTTCTTATTCTCGGACAACATATTCTCAAGAATGGAGTATCATTACTTAGGGTTGGAAAGAAAAATTACTATGTTATAAAATGGCTGCAGCTGTGACAACAGAGAATCTCCCTAAAACAACAGGTCATTTCAGCTCTGCTCCTTGAAAATGTTTCTGTCCTGTGCATTACTATGCAGCTCACCAACTGCCCAATACCATCAATTTTTAAAATGCACCAACAGAGTTCAAATAAGCAGCTGAGGTATACCAGTGAAGAGGTTTTAGATATTCTCCCTTATTCAAAGCACCATTCCTAAGAGGAGCTGCACAAGAAGACAATGAAAAGATTCATTTCAAAGTCCAAAGATGGAGATCTTTGCATCTCAAAGGAGGCTTCCCCTCCTTTAACAACCATGTGTTGGAGGCGAACAGTGGCTGGTTACTCCACAGGAGAACCCACAGCAAGACAAGCAAAATCATCCTCCAACCCAGGACTTCTTACAGCCAATGTGTGCTCACCTACCAGAGAAACCTGTGCCAGTGGGCAAGGACAACCAACCTGCAATCAACATGTTTGTTCAGAACAGGTTTGCTTTGAAGGAACCTGCAGGAAATTCACAATAAAGGAAAAGAATGATTAAGCACTAATAAGATTCTTCTTGGTTATTTATGTATGGGGGCACATTGCACCAAAGCTTTCCAGCCTTCATGTGGGAATGCACAGCAAAATCACTTTTTGAAATGTGGAAGTATAGAGCCTCTCAAAGCTTAAATCAACTTCGTGAATCCTTTTTAAGCCTTCTGTGTGCATAGTATGACTTACCAGGTGAGTGACGCTCATTCCGCTTCTTGGTCCTCTGAATTCACTGGACACATCCCTGCTATCTGCCATCTTTGATAAAAGTATATCCTAGCCCTAGTTCTTTGGCCTCTACAGTCAGTTGCAATATATTATACCACAAGATCTTAATCTGACCTTCCTGGATGTGGTCACTCAGCACCATCTCTTCTGCTGTCAGAATAAGTCATGGTAGTTCAGCTGGTTTAAAACCACCCAGCCTATGAGAAATGGGGAAATTATAAATTATAATGAGACGTCTCTGTTTCATAAAGAAAAAAAGTAGCTGAGTCATTTCTACCTTAAAAAAAGCACTCTATACATTGTCTTAGCTCCCAGACCACTTTCTGTTGCTTGTTAACTTTGCCTTAAGAGAAAGCATGTGGAGGAGAAAGGTGAGGAGAAGGGAAGGCTAAATGCATCCACCTAATATACCTGCCTTGTTTCTTAAACAACAGAAGCATCAGTGCAAATCAGAAGCATGTGGGAACAAACTACACCAATAGACAGCCATGTTTGCCTCCAGAGGAAAACAACAGAGCAGATTTGATAGTTTCTTTATGGTTGCAGGAAATAAAATCCCAAGAATAGAGAAATTAATAACGATTCGTGTCTGATCTCTTTCCTGCCTTTTTTCCCTGATTACCAAATGGTGCAGATGCACACATATACCCACTTTTAATAAGTTAGTAAAAGGATTTTAATCATTTTTACAAATACAAAATAAAAAAGGGGAAGTCACTTCTTTGCAGACAAGGTTTTTAGTAACATCCATAAATTCTTAAGAAATTTAGTCTGTGCTTCCTTTTGACCAATTCCTCACAAACCAAACCCTTCCCTGCCTCTTTTCAAAGAAACAGCTGGATACAACCACTACTTCATATGACTATACAAGGTTATCACACTTGAACACTTGGACCAAGGATCAAAGATGACCAGAAAAATCAAGTATCCTTCCTTAGCCTGATCTTATTTATTCTGTACCCCAAAACAGATATGCTCAGGTAATCAGAAACAGAACTTGTTCAAATGTGAACATTTGAACAATGTGAACATTAGGTAGTACAGAATGTTAAAGCATTTAACATGGCTAGAAACGTGTGATTCTAAAGTGCAAAAAGTAATTTTTTTGGACAGGTAAACTCGAAGCTATCAGAGCATGAAAGCGCCTTCAGTGCCACTAAGCACAAAACTATATTCAATGGTTTTACACTTTGAAGAATCAATCATCTGGCTCTCACCTCAAAGCACAGAGTTTGGCTTGCAATAAAAAGCTCACACAGTGGAGATCTTCAGTAACTCCTGAAAACACCAGCTACCCATCACCCTCAGAGCTGAAGGATAAAACCATAGGAAAAAAAATTACTCAAGATAATTCCATTCAAATTACCAACAGGGCAGGGGCACAACAGACTGGCAAGTTGTTTGCCCTGCTGTAGTCTATAAAGCATTGAGTAAAGGCAGGTTTTACACAAGGTCTGCTCTGTTTACTTCAGAATGAGGTTTGAAGCACAAAGACACCCTCGCCTTGCCCGTCTATTCCACTACGTGAAATCTGAACCTGACTACTAAACACTGACAAACTGTTAACATTGGTACACTGTGTTTTAGTTACAGGAGAACCACACAGCTCAGGTACTAATGTCAGACATTTACTAATCTGACCTTGGCGACAGTGGTTCTCCCCTCCATGATTCTTTCCCCACCGGAGAGCAAATTATTTTAAGTTAGCTAAAATTTGTGCATTAATGACAAAATTATTTCAACCTTAAATTAAATAAGGTGGGCTAGGAGGCAGCTGCAAACCATCATTTTGATCTGGGAGTTTTTTGTTGCTGACCTCATTAGGTTTTTTTCTGTAGTTTACTCATTATTTCTTTTAGTGCTGGCAGCAACAGTGACATTTTAAGTATTTTAGTTCAACTCCAGAAAACAGCTTATTTCAAACCTAGCAACAGCCACAAGCAGCCTGTCTACACTATTAGTTATGCAACTATACAAGAACTCAGAATGTAGACTTGAACAAGAGCAAGTGCAAACCTAAGTATGGCTGTACAAATACAGGCAGTTACACTATTAACTAAGTCCTGTCACTTGAACTACAGCTCAGTTCAAAACTATTTCTGGGATAATTCATTTTGTGTGTTATCTGTTTATTAAATAACAGGATTGTTACAGCATGGACTTTCAAAGACTTGCATTAAGGATTACAAATCAAGTTCATTTCTTGGCACTCAAAACATTACCCAATTGAAACTTTTTGTGAAATTTAAAACAAAAGAAGTTGTAACATTTCAGAAACCAAATTTACACTGTGGAAATTTTACATGACATTACAGAGCCAGGTTATCACTTGCAAGAATTTCTTAAATAAATCAAATTCATTTGCTTTAGGCAGCATTTCAAAACTTACAAGTCAGATTACTTCTTCACAAGAGACTGTTGACTGAACTTTGGGAGTTAAAGCTTAGGTAGCAGTTCACTTATGGACGGCACTACCTTGTTGAAAACATACTTCTTATGTGTTGAAAGTAAAAGGTAATAGAGGTGTCAGGTGAATTCCAAACAGAAATGAAATGCTTTTGACAAAACTATTAAAACTTTCCACTGATCACCAAAGCTGATTACAAAAGTGGTTTGCACTTCAGTCACATTTCTTAAATCTGAGAACTACCATCCCTGCACACAATGCAAGAAGTTAAAATTACTTGCTTTGTATTCATTACATGTAATACATACACCGTGACTTTTTAGGCTGTTTAAAAATACATTATATATTTCTGTGTTCTGCGTGAATTATCTCAGATTATACATAAAGTATCCAAAAGTTGCACCTGCCAGACTTGTGCTTATATTGATGTAAAACTGAAGATTACCATGAGAAAAATGCATTTTTAAACAGCTTCTTGTAAACTGAATTTTTAAATTTTCAATCTTTAGCAGCTTACAAAAGGAATTCCATTTCTAACTGATTAAAGGCAGAAGGAAGTGCATTTGGTAATAAAAAAACCTCATTATACTGGCCCAGTACCACAAAGCCATGGAGGTTAAGGGCAGTGTCCTATTTTTCATGCAAGTTGTGTTAAAGATAAAATATCAGCAACACTAGAGTAAACATTTTCACTTTATACAAAAAGAGTGAATCTGCTTGAAAAGTACATGCAAGTGCGCTGGCTGGAGTTTAAATAAATTTTTATTCATAAAAATTAAAATGTTTACTTTATAAAGGCTAGTGTGATCAATAGTTATCTGTATGAACTATAATCAGAAGAAAAATAAATCAACTTAATTTTCAACCTAAAATTTCATTATTTTACGATTGTCGACCAAAAAAAAAAAAAAAAAAAAAAGCGCTACTTACAGCACAATAAAATTTCCTCAAAAGCAACTCTAATCTCTGGTATAAATATTCCAATTCCACAGACTTTCTTTCATACTGTCATACATTCCAAAATTCAAAGAAGTTGTGGGGATCCCCTTCTCCCTGGCCAACTTAAATCTGTTTTTGAAAGAAACACTTATTATCCCATTACAGTTTTGAAATCCGTTTTTATTTTTCAGTTCTGCCAGAACAAATTTACTATGGGATGGTCCAGGGGCTTGGTCCCAGGGGGGAGGAAGGGGGAGATGTCCTTGTACCTGATTATAATCCCCAGCATTCATACACAAGCTCCAGTGCACATGAAAACCTTTGCACCCACTTTTTAGCAGGCTGCTATTGTTCACAAGCTCCAGGCTAATTCTTCCTACATGATACTCCATTAAATCAAGTTCAACGTTTTGTCTGCAGTTTAAACATTTGGGGGAGAAAAATAATGTGGACACACATACATAGTAATACAGTCGACATGTCTACTGTGCTATAAAATTGATACCTCCATCTGTCACAGTGCATGCAATATATTCATGAAAGGAAATACTCGGTGCTTTCTTCTCTTCACAGTATTTAAACTTCTATTGTAAAAGCAGCTTAAAACTATGCCACAAGACTACACCGGCCGTCTTAACCACAGGCAACCTGTTTAGCAAGTCAGGCACTGGAACTTGAACGTTTTTTCCCCAAGTTCAAATGAGACTGTCACTGAGACAGAAGACTTGGTCTGCTTTAATTTGCACCAGAAAGCTGGTAAGGAAACATTTAGAGCCATTTATTATGTGGATTAAATACGACTTCTTTTGCAAAATACAGCATATTTTCCTGTTTGCAAATCAAACCAACTGTCTTTACATGAGCAGATTTACACAGTTGCAGTACACAGATAAGAGTTCATAAATAAAAATTCTACTCCGTATACCATGCCTAGCAATTTTCAAGCCAATGTAACCTCCAATGCATATAAATAGTGTGGCTGATACAGTCTTCACCAAAGATGTGTCTCACGAATCTCTGCAATGATCTGGCTGGCTCGCTGCAGGGCCTGCACACACAAACACACAGAAGCCAGAGCTAGTTAGTTTTTCTGTAGAGGTTTCTCAGGGAGGTGACAGCAGCAGTCTAGGAAGTGTAAAGTTAAAAACTTATTTTAAGCTAATCAGTTTCATTATGAAATGAGTGGCAACCCATTAAATTTTCAAGAAGGGCAGGCTTTTTCAACACACACAATTTTAATGTTTTAAAACCTCTTCAAAATAAAAGAGAATTTGCACCTACTTTTTATGACTTTTACCATTCTGTAGCATTCATTGCAGTGTAGTCTGCTAAACTGCAGATTTAAAAACTCATAATACCAACTAATACTGACATTATTGATAGTATTACTCAAATTTGGAGAAATCTGAGCTATGAGTTTGTACAAGTGGTATGTCAGGGTATCCAGTCTCAAATAGGCACTGTCTGACCACACTGCATATGAAAAGAAGCACCTCTTGGTACTTCTTCAGTGAGCTGAACTGGCAGAGGGACCTTTTTTATGCACCTGAATGCAAAGCAGCAGATTTCTGATGCAGGTGATGTGGAAACACTGACACACTACATAACTGAACAATGAAGAAATGAAGAGTTCACTGTCATGGACATGTCATCAGGACTGTCATACAGAGGTACACAGAGTCACCATAGGTGAGTGCAAACATTCCCACTGTTACATTATGAGGCACTGTCTAGAGACACCAGCCATTGGCCGTTAGGCTCTGCATGACACACAGAATGGCACTTAAAACACTGTAAGCTTAATCCCCCAAAAGAGCACTACTTAAAACTACAAAATTAAATAAAAGCACATTATTAAAACCAAATGTATAATGGAAGATAACGCCAGATTAGATCTTCTGCTTTATGCCTAAAATATAGTTTAAGTTACTTCTCCCCAGGTACTCAATCTACATAATACTTTCTGGTCACATATTATTTTTAATCCCTCTAGCAGAGAGAAGTAATACATTGGCATATTCTTAAAAAAGCAGCAAAGAAAAAGGGAAGGCAAAAGTCTTCCAAAAATCTCACATTTATATGGTGAACTACTGCCATGAACTCCTGATCTTTTTCCTACCTTTAGCATGTCAGCTGCCTCTTTTCTGCGCTGTGCCATGTCCTCTGATTCCGTCAGAAGGTCATCCAACAACAAGGATTTATACAGCTGGCCTACCAGCTCACTCTGAAGAGTGTCCTTCACGTGGTTCACTAGAAAATGCATCACTGCCTTTGGCACACTGCAAGAACATAAAGATTATGTCTTTATTCAAAACCAGGTCTGCTCCAGATTGAAGAAGGCAGTAACATAGTACTAACACTGCAGAAACATTAAGGTAAACATAGCACTTCCCTGTCATCAAATACTAAAAATTATATTGAGGATACTAGTTTATTGGGTAGACTAAAACTTCCATGGCCTCTCTAATCTGCTATAAACTTTGGTTTCCAGATTCCTGTATTCCCCCAAAATTTCCCACATACATAAAAATCTAAATATATACAAAGCTAGGTCTTTCCACAAAGATACAAGCAAAGCAAAGTTTTATATCATTCTTTGTTAAAAGAAAGTATGACAATTTTTAAGCAAAATTTTTCTGCTGACAGCAGAAACAACTCTTTATGCTATTTCCATTCTTATAGCCAACTACTGGAAAGGTCAGCCACAGTAGTTCCTATCTGACCTTCCCTTTTGAATGACAGGATGGCAAAGCTAAGTTCTGTCAGGACTAGACAGCACCTAGAGTTCATTGCAATAATTTGCTGCAAATAATCCATCTGAATTGAAGCATCCTCCAGAAGAGCAGGCATCGCCTAAATAATTAAACCTTTTACTTAATATTATACAAACTGAAACCATTAGAGAAAGCAAGTGCTTCTTCAAACTTCTCAGTTCTATGAAGGCTCAAGTTTTACTGCTGCTCTCCCTTCTAAAAAATAAATATATTTTCTCTCTTGTTACTAACATAAAAACATGATAAAAATAACAAGATTAGTATGTATGACTCTTGAGATACCACAATATTTGTACGGTTTCAATATTTCTAGAAAGTTGTCTTACCTGTCCTGAATGTTCTTCCTGACAATAAGGAAGTAGGATTTAATAAGTCGTTCAATCACTTCACAATCTCGTTGCTCACGGGCAGAAAGTTTGCGTGCAACAGGTACAGGCTATGGAAAAAAATAAAACCCTCAGTTTACCAATTCTGCTCATTTGCATGTGTAAGTAAAACTCAAACTGTGGAAACTAAAATAAACTACTGCTCTTTTAGTCTGATAGTTTGATAGACGTAACTTGTCTTGCAACAAACCTCTAATTCTTCAGAAATAAAACTGGAGACATATTAAAATCCAGATCTGCGAGACAAAGTTAAGAGGGCACCACTACTACATTTTTTTTAAAGCTCACTAAAGGAACTAAGCTCCAAACATAGGTATCTCCATCTAATTTAAGTTTTATCTTTAATTCATTCTTTTCCTCTAATATAAAAATTGAACTTCAGCAAAGAAGGAGCAGGAATTTGAGATGAGATTTGTTTCTCTACAAGAACGATCTAGATGAGTTCATTTGCACAGGAATTTGTGAAAGGAAGCCAGTTATCCCAATCATAGGCTGAAACTGGGATGGGCAGGGGGGAGATGAAGGACTGAGCAGGGAGGAAAGCAGAAGAGACTGGCTAGAGATCCCTGTTGCTGTAATGGGAATTATTTTACAAAGATATCACATATTAGTAGCAAAGTTACAAGGTTTGGAATTCAGATGTTTTCTTTGCTGAGCCTGAGCTACAAAGAACAGGTACTTGTCTTTCATGACTCACCACATCTAACAGGTTTACAGCATGTCCTTTTTGAGGACTAGCAGGTAGGGCTGCAGCTGGCTTGGATTTTTCCTCTGCTGATACCTCTTCTGCTTTTGAGGGTTTCAGCATTCCTCTCCAGTTGCCTGTCCCAGGCTCCTGAGATGTATCTGCTGCTCCAGGAGCAGCCTGCACAAACAGCACATTGAGAAAAGCATTGGAGAATTAGAACTTGGGCACTGTAAAGCAGTGTCTGATCAAATCACTACAGATAAGACTCAGTAAAAATGAGATTTTCATATGTATATTCCCGCCATTCTGTTCTTCACATTCCCCACCTTTGTTCTCCCTTTGCTGCTTACAGCTGACACAAGGTCCCAGTAAAATGAAAGCTTTTAAAACTCATATTCTTTCAAATAATGGTATGAAAATGTCTCACATAGAGAAGCTCCCCAGCATTTTAAGGGTCTATAAATAACTTATGAAATATGGAGTGGTCTTCCTAAATAATTTGGCTTTTACCACTTTGACCTTGGAGTAAATACATCCTTGGAGCAATAAAACCTATACTCTATCAGGATCATCCTGAAACTGTGTTTTGAAGATCACCACAGCTCTTGCAATACTTAAACTTAAATTCTTTGGTATTTTATTTAAATACAAACTGAAGTTTCTTACAATAAGAGCTAGAAAACATGCACATTTTTATTTCCAAGTACCACAGCTATGAACACATTTGTGCTGCCAGACCTCAATTTACAGAAGGCTTTTTTTGTACCAAATCAAAACTAAACAAAAATCTCCATCCTCTGGAAGTGAAGATCAGAGTTTGTGGGAAGTTCCAGAGAAAGAATGACTCGCTGATCTCCTGAGAAAAGGACATATCACCCAGCTCTTAAATATTGAGAATCACTGGGAAAAAGAAATATTAGTGGATGGTATCCACCATATGTTAATTAGTATTAAAAAACCCAACAGTTTATTTTGATATGGAACAGGAGCAATTTTTATTTCATACCTTTCCATAAGCCTAATATCTGTTCTATTTACTACTGTGCTTTAAAATCTATTGCTGTTTGAAAAACATTCAAGGCTCTGCGCTACTATTTATGTCTTCCTTCAGATATAGGAGGAAAAAAGCTAAATTTATCTATTGTGTTTACAATTAAACACCACAGGCTGATCTTAAATCTAAAAAAAAAAAAAAAAGTGAGAAACAAAGCATAGAATATCAAAAAAACTGAATAGCAACAGTAGCACACTAGGAGGAAGCCCAGCTAAACTGTCCACATCAGAAATTTTATTTAAATTGCACAACTGTTCAGAGGCACTGTAGAATACACTATAAGAATTCAAATCAAATTCTGTTAATAAGAGAGAACTACTGACAAGGAAAGCTCCATTGCATTATTTCTGATTGCAAGACAGCTGCTCAAAATGACAAAAATCCCTACGCCACTCTCATTCCGTATTACTGTGGAGCCTGGTCTATCTCCAAAGCAGTTTCAGAAACAAAGCTACACAAGAAAAAGCATGAAACCAGCTAATACAGGACAGGTTTTATGGGAAATGTAAACCAAATCTGGCAGCTTCCTGCAACTTTCTAAGTCACAACAGTATCTTCACAGTAGCTCTTGATTTCTTTCTAATGTTTACAGCATATCAGAACCTCTAAAACACTGATGAAATAATAGTTAAAACTCTACTATTGACTAGATTTTGACTTTAACCACTTTTTTGAAGACAGAAATGGCAGCTTTGCATTAAAAGCTGAATGTGCATATGCAGTGAAGCAGAAAGCCTGAGTCCTCTTGGTACTCCCAATACACAAACTTGTGACTTCCCATCTTTTCTGACTGCAAGCGAAAGCCATTAGCAAAAAAGCCTTCACAGTAATAATGAGCTGTTATTTTAACACAAAAGACATCACACCTGAAGTGTAAAAAAACACTGCAGAACACATTTCACAAATATAAGTAAACCAGGGATTCAACAATTATGAGAAACAACACAAAGGAGGTTCAGTTTGAACAAAGCCTGTAAGGATTCCCTGCAGGAAGCAGGAAACTCACATTTTAGCTTATCTTCTGTCCTCCTTCTTTAACTGTCAACACATTAAAAACATGCAGTTTAACAACCATGCTGAACACTTTTGATTACAATACTGTTGCACCAAACAATCTATTGACAGTTTGAGGCAAATTATGCTGCATTCTTGCACCACAATATATTGCAACCAAGAGTTCAAACAGAAAGCAGTGCCTTTGCCACCTAATGGCACATCTTTACCTGCCACTGCACATGCTGAAATCAGCAGTGCCAAGTAGTCCACAGTGGGGAGGGTAACTGTGTCAGTGACAAAGCGCTAAATCCAAACTGCTTTCCTTTCTGCGGGGCACCACAACAGAAACGGGCATGCAGTGCTTAGAGGAGAAATCAAGACAGACCTTGCCATCAGCCTCAGCAGAAGCAGCAGTAACAGTCTCCTGGGAAGCAGGTGGCAATGCACCTGGAGCCTTAGTAGACTAAGGAAGGTAAAAAATGCAGGGAGGGGGGGAAAAAAAAAATTCAACTGAAGACCACCAAATCTACCTAGCAAATTTCATACACTTTTACCTACTAGCGTCTTTCAAAATCCAGAAAAGAAATATTTTGAATTTGCAAGAATAACTGTTCTATAAGCAGAAAAAAAGCAAAAAAAGGGCATCTTCAAGACAGTTAAGAGAGTTTTGAATTATCTGACTTTCAATTTCATTTCAGCTCCTACACTGATGATATAAAGATGAAGTCAATAAAAAGAAGGATCAAAGAGCACTGAATGCAATCTATAGATAGCTATCCTAAATTCCCAGTTCATCCATCAGTTGTCTTATACTGAATAAAGGCAGTAGTATTAGACCCATTCTGGAACTTGGTCTCACTTTTAAAGCTAACAACCTTAATGAACCAATTTCTATCAGCTGTAGAAACTCCTGTTACAACCTTGTGAGAAGTTTAAACTATTCTCTGTATCTTTGAATTCTAAATACTTCACATAATGTTAAATAACTGCCTAAAATTCCAGCTTATTGTCAGACCACTCTTCTACAACAAGGCAACATTTTCCATGACACTTGGTTGGTTCTTCCACCCATGTATGTACCTGTCATTGCACTAATCCAAAACCTGGTAAAATTAAGCAAGCTCCAGAGTTAGAATACAGAATACTGAAAATGTCACCTCCACCATCTTCTCCCAAAGAAAGCAAGGCTGCAATAACTTGCAGTTTTAAGGGTGACTTAAAAAAAAAAAATCAAAAAGCAACCACAAAGTCATTATGCTGGCACACTGGATACTTTAAATCATTTGTTAATCTTTAGAGATCAGTGTGTCTCAGCTATAAATTTAAGCATGCAAGTTCTGACTCCATCTTTAACATCTGCAGGCATTTTACCCCTTACCTCAGATGACCTTCAAGTAGTAAGTGCAACATTAAATTTATAGACAAGTCTTCAGAAATGTCAGATTTAAAACCTCCCAAAAAATCGCATCTTTATAAGAAAATGACATTTTGCTTTTATCTTATGAAATTGAAGGAAAAAAAGTCAATACTTGGAAGCTCCCAAGACTGTTACTAGGGTAGCATATCAAAGTTTCCACTACTTAGATTGGATCAAGGAGAATGCATTAAACTATAAATGAATAAATAAAAAAAATCCAACATTTACTTACCTTGTCTCGTGGCACAGCAGAAGGCAATTCCCGAGCTAACCTGTTTCGCCTTTGTTCCTTTAAAAACAATCCAGCAAGACCTCAATTATGTATTACTCTGTATCAACACATAGGCAAGATTCATATTTTACAGACTTAACATTTTAGAGACAAAAACTAGTAATTTCATCTCGACCAGTGTCATGCAATAATACTATGGTCCTATGAAACCTTGGTTATTTGGATAAAACTACTTTAATTACCTGGTCAAAATGAAATTCTCATTATAAAAAGTTTTGCAAAAATTTTTGCAACAGGCTTCATAATCAAAACCTGAGCCTTTAAAAAACAACATCAAAGCTACACAATTTGGCTCAGCATAAATACCCCTACAGCTCTCACTAAACATTAAATATTCAAAGTAATCGAAAGGATTTGATTCCGTGGCCAGCACATGATTAGCCCAAAGGAAGAAGGAGGGAAAATTTGCTTCATAGCAAAACAGGATTTGAAGCAATCAGGACAAAAAGATCTCATTTTTCTTGAAATTAAGAACTGATTGTCCAGTTTTACATGGACATGGTTTTACATAGTTCTTCAAAAATTCCAATGTCCTGTTCAGAAAAATGCTAGGAAAGAACTAGTTTAAGTACACACAATAATACAATAATTTTCCTGTTCAACTTCACAAAGTCTTGACATTTGTACTCAAAGCAGTTTCCGTACACATTGTTTCAGAACTAGATTAAAGAGCAGTCTATCAAGGCAAATTCAATTGCATACCCAGTTAAAACAAGATTTATGCAGAGAAGAAAGTAAAAGATTAAAAATAAAGAGTTTAAATTTCAACAAACATTTAAAAACAGAACACTACAAGAGCATGTAGTGACAGAACAAGAGAGAAAGGCTTCAAACTGAAAGAGAGTAAGTTAAAATTGTATATTAGGAAGAAATTCTTTACTGTGAGGGTGGTGAGGCCCTGGCACAGGTTGCCCAGAGAAGCTGTGGATGCCCCATCCCTGGAAGTGTTCAAGGCCAGGTTGGATGGGGCTCTGAACAACCTGGTCTAGTGGAAGGTGCCCATGGCAGGGGGGTTGGAACTAAATGATCTTCAAGGTCCCTTCCAACCCAAACCATTCTATGATTCTGTGATATAAAAACAACGTGTTGGATAAACACAGAGTATTAGTGAGCTCTTAGCCAGATGGATGAAATACTGCAACAAAACCAGATTGGAAGAATCCATCCAGCAGAACGGTTCTAGAAGTGCTTGTATAGGATGATGACAGCAACAAGTATTATTAATCAAAGCTGGGCTTGAAAAATAGAAAAACTACTGATGAGAGGCTGATGGAGAAAATGTCTTACGGAGACTGAAGTTTGGTAACACAGAGATTCAAGAAAAATGCTAAGAACAAGCAGAAATTAGAATCTGAACAGACAAAACAATACTTGTATTATCCTTTCAGGAATGAAAGGAACGTTATTGATACATTGTGTCAGAGACAAAATGCAGTTACTTCAACATTAGGTGGTAGTTCACAACCACAGTTTTAAATTTCCTCTTACAAAAATTTCATTTAATAGCCAGTACTCAATGAGGTGCCTGTCTTATTTTCCAGACTGAAAAACAGGCAGAATTCTTTCAATTAAACATCAACCACCGTTCCTCAATGTAATAAGCAACAGAAATCTAACAAATCCACAGATCACAAGAGTATACACCGTATTTGTAATATATCACATTTTTATACCCCAAAATGTAGAAATGTGCTTCAATGAAAGAACTTGAAGCATTTGTTATCATTTGTTATTTTATCAATTTTGCTTTCATTTAAAGGAGTCAAAAAAATGTATTTTCTTACCTCTATGTTGTTATTCATTAAACCACAGGCATCAGCAAAGTCTGGATGCTTGGTATTGATATAAGCTAACTCAATGGCCACGAGATTATGAACCTGCAATGCAATGACATTCACAGTTCAAAAATTCTGTTGGCAAATCTGATGCTAGTGAGGAGCAATGATCTACAGTGCTGGGAAGTGTGGTCTAACTTTCCATTGCAAAAGCCATTCTCACTGCCCAAGGACACTTAAGTTCTGATCCAGAAGGCAAGAAGAGAATTCATTTATTCATCACAATTCATTCAGTCCGTCAGCCACTTGGGATGTTACATCAGTTTAACCTGTTACCTTCATCAAGCTAACCCCTCTCCAGCAATAAAAAAAACCAAAACCCAACAATCTAATGAGTGTAAACTATATAAAAAACACAGATAACGTGTGAACCAGTGGGAGACGGCTCACTATGGGGAATAGTGAGCATACAAAACAAATTTTGCTTTTCACATCACAGTCAATAACTGAAACACTTTGTTTCCTCCCCAACAAGCAGCCCAAATCAGACTTTTATATTAAAACATATTTACTCAAAGCTAGAAGTTGAATTTTTAGTTCTCACTAGCTAAAGGGCACTACAAGTCCCCAGAACACACAGAGTAAGGTCTATAATTTAATTTTCATCACTGCATCCCAAACTTCACAGTTAATGCACAGCTTCTGTTACAAGGGAGGGAAATACACTATATCAGAGAGGCTAGGAGATGTAGAATTGAAGTTTTAGTAAAATTCTTTTTGGGAAATTGTCAAAGGGGACAATAAGCTGAAGAGGAATCTCCCCACCCCTTTGCTTTTTCTGAATCAATATTCTAATATAGAAGAAGTTTCAAATCATGTAGATGTAAAATAACTAGCTATTTAACAAATATAAGTTAAGATTCCTTTAAAGACCTGGGTTCCTGACACTACAAACAAAAGCAACAAGACTCCAAAACCCACACATTTTTACCAGCAAAATTAAGAGTAGATGGAAAATTACCATTTCATTTGTGACAGGAAGTCTTCTACGCAAAAGACAGGTTACTACTTCGACTATGGCATCGTGCAATTTAGGAAACCTCAGTAACTCCTGAAAACAAACCAAAAATTTGTGTGATATGACTTCCCGAAGTTCTTAAGCAAGTGGGGGGACAAACCAACGATTACAAACCTAACTCTAAAACGTGCATTTTTACCTGGGTACTGTAATTACTACAATGCTGGATAATCCTCTGCATTTCTTCATGAACCAGCTCCACACAGCGCAGGCTGGGCTCTTCTAAACGTTTGATTTGCCTTTTTACCAGCAACTCAAATGAAACTTCAGGAACAAACAAGGCAGGACGGGGACCCTGGTTCAAAAGGAGGGAAAAAGCTGCTAAACTGTGAATTAAAACAAGATGCATTTCTAAGCAGCATCTGATGAAGCCCAGAATAAATCAGGTCACAGTGCTCACACCCAACACTCAGAACAGGTCTCAAGATCCGTTACAGGAATAATTAAAAATAAAAGCTATAAAGTTGTTATCTTTAAGACAAAGTCTGTGTTAAACAATGATTAACAAGTATCCTTACAGAATCTTGGGAGATTTCCAGCTACTCCTGTCACCCTAGGCTTACAACTCTGAACAATTCTTTTCACATTTGTGGATCCAAGTTTAATTGAAATTTATTATAAAGGCAAAGACATTTTCTTATTAATTTTGGAGAGAAATATTGCCATTATTTATTTGACACTCCTGGGCATACAATACCACACCAACAAGATAGGTGGGTTTCAGTGTCACTGATTTACAGAGTTTGGGATAATTTCATTTATCACCATTCAGATTAATGCTTAGCTACACACAGAACATTTTTTACCTGAAATTTCTTTTTTTTTTTAATTAAATGAGCTTAAGAAACACAAAGATGTTATATGTCACATATATAAAAACATGACTTCTTTCCTGTTACTAAACAGTATTTTTTAATTTTACATTTATAGAAGGATAGAACATGCACACAGATCATTGCTGCAGAGCACCTCACAAGCTCCAAGACTGTCCAGAAACCTGACTGTCTATCCACACCCAACAGGACACAGCACAAAAGCAGACTGACATGTCTGACACACAAAGTCAAGCTCTAAGGAGTGAACATTCTATACGTAATATTCTACAAAATTTAAAAGTGAGCTTACTGTGTTAATTCTTAGCAATACCAATTCCCATATTCTCAAGAAACCAAATCTGTCATGCAAACACTGAACCATTGCAAAGTTGTGTGCCTTATACAGAATTAAAATATCTGACTGTGTCCTAGCCCATACATCTCAGACTGAGTTGTCATAACTAACAGAAGTGCTAAATGCAATATAAGACCAGAGGCAGTCTTCCATCACCATTTCTGTAATATATAACAGCTTCAGCACAGAGTTGCCAAAGCTGGGCCTGTGCTTTATTTCAGCCTGTAAATAACAGCAAGAAGATGTAACCATTCACATTAAACTCATTCCATATAGAATAATGTCTCCAAATTTGGATATTGTAATTTTTCCACTTAAAGTACGAAAAAATCAGGATTCAGCCTCTTTATATTAACTCATTCAGCTGAGATCGTTAATTCACAGGACTGAAGAAGCACAAATTTGTTGAAACCTTATCTTCCTACCCAACATACAGCCGCAACACTTAGATATACAGAAGAACACTCACAGTAGCATTTCTAATGGCAGTCAGAATATCAATTGTATTAAGGCCACCCAGCGGGTCAACAGATTCCAAAGTTCTTCCAAAGGTCTCATGAAAAATATAGCAGATTCTGGCTCCACCACATCTGAAAGAGTAAAATAACAACTGAAGCAGCAAACAAGAAAAAAGCTCTAATTGCAAGCATTTTTTACAGTTGCTTGGATTCAAAACATGTTTGAGTCTGTTATGCTCCCATGTAATACTATTGCCAATGAAAGCCAGTAAGAGGCACTGGGTCAATCTAACTACTCAGTCAGCATTCTAGGAAAACATTTGGTACTTACAGCTCTGAAGTCTCGATGTACTTTGCTGTTCCTTCAATAGTGTTACAATATTCTGTGGCAAATTTGGTAATAAGCTGCAATAAAGTAGCACTTTTGTCTTCAACGGGTTCCCCATAGCTGTTCAGTAGAGACTGGTACTGAGCAGCTAAAACATTAATTCTGGTTTTCAGTTCTGGCAAGCAATCCCTGATATGATGCATCAGTAGTCTAAAAATAGAAAACAGTCCCTCATTAGCAGGAAGGAAAGGTTTCAGTATTATTACCTCCATCAGAACAGAGAAGAGACAAAAATAATCACCAAAGGAAAACATTTACTCAGAAAAATTACAGTAAATTCAAAAACTGAGAGAATCAGAGTTTGGAATCAGCGTTTTCCTCAGTGCTCTACAGCACCAAAAGAGAAACTAAAGGTAAAAAGAAAGGTCTGCACATATTTCTAACACATCAGTTTACAGGTTAGAGTAATACCTGTTCAGTGTTCTAGCAAGATACTTGGTTCCGTTTCGGTTGGCTAGGGAAGGGTACTTCTTTTGGAGAAAACCATACTCATCACGAATGGAATCAGCCACACTCTTCTTGTTGTTAATGTCCAACTGACTCCTGAAGGGAAAAAGCAGAGTTGCACAGCAGTTAACAGATGCAAAGTAAAAAAAAATAATCACACTTCTGCTTGTCTGGACAGGACATCTAACAACTGATTTTTTTTGCTTTACACACATAACTAACCTTCTTTAGACTTCAAAAGGTTTTATTTTTTGTTCCATGCAGCATAGTCAACAAATCAGTATGGGGAGCAGTTGTACACAGACTAAGCAATGCTTTTACCAAAACCACATGAGATTTGGCCTTGCTAAAGCAAAAACTGAAGTAAGCAGTGCTGTAGCCATATGCAGTTAGCACTAATGTACACGGGATCTGTACTGGATCAGTGCTAATGTGAACAGCTGAGCAGAAGCATTCCTCAAGCTGAAGAACAACAGTGGAAAGAAGTGGTGACACTACAGTTCTTTTGGAAGAAGTGTTTCTACTCCTTTCCAAATTAGCAGCTGGTTGAGTGGAAGAACAAAGGCTTTGGAGAAGTGAGCGACAAGCTCCTCGCTTGCTTATTCAGTTTATTTCAACATTCTCACCTTATTCTTAAAACTATGTTCATGGTTAAAAAGGCTGAAAGCATTACTTCATAGTAACACAGTTTTAAAAATAGCATCAACGTGCCCAGACAGACCTATTCACTACTCCAATGATGCCAAGTTTGACTGGAATCACTCTTCCCATGAGGACATCCATAGCATCAGTGCCAGCATCCATGAGATCCAGCTTTGTGATAACAGCAAGGGTTCTTCGACCTACCAAAAGGAAAAAACACTCACAGGGATGCTTTGTTTTGATCAGAGTAACTAAAACACATAATACAGCAAAGTAAAGAAAAAAGTGACCTCAGTTCATTAGACAGGTAAATACTGCACATCTAAACCAGGAAGGAGGCTAATATCCACAGGATTTGTCTGGGACCTCAATATTTCCTGAGCTCTCGGGTTGAAAAAAAGTGCCAAGAACTTTTTCGTTAAAATATAACACACTTTTTGAGTCTAAAAAAGAAAATAAACCAGCATCTCAGCGAAATCAGTAAGTTCTTGGGTCTTGAAACTTTCATGTGAGGCTAACTACTTTAGTAATTCAAGTTCTCCTTACATACCACTACTCCTACTGAACCTGCAACATGATCTGCCGCTCCAGACCTTTAAGTTTCAGAATTCTAGGAAGTGATCCAAAAGACACAGTCAATTATCTTTACAGGGATAAATTAAAAGAGGTCTGTTACCTTGAACTAGGAAAATTTGACTAAGCAGACTGCCAGCAGAGGTTATGTGGCAGACAAGCCAAAGCAGATTTGGAATTTGAAAATAAACAATAAATGTTACACTTTATTGGAAGAAAAATTTGAGGGTAAAGCGTAACACTAAATTTTAGCCTAATTTCTGTATATCTATTTTCCAGGTGTACTATTCCATATTCTTTCAAATCACACAGTGCCATTTGTTAGTCAGTGGTGCTGACAGCACTTTCCAAAAGCAAAAAGCAGGCATCTAGCAGCTTCAGATCTGTTCCAAAGTAATTAGGAGGTAAATATAAAATGATAATCCTCTTTTTAGATTAAATCAAATCAGTCAGTTCTGTCACATAAATGCAGGGCATAAAAATGGATACTAACAGTATATGTTAATCTTAATTTTACTAAAGTCACTTAACTAACAGCTAGACAGTCAATTGTTAGCTGCAGAACAGGATGGTGTATTTTCTCTACTAAAATAAACAACACTGAACAATAAAACACGAAATTGCCCTAACAGACCTCTGTAAACTATTAAAACTCTGAAAACCCCCCATATTCTGTAATATCATTTGCTGCTGTGAAAACAGAAGTAGCTCTTATGACTACATGTTCATAAGCCAGAAATCTGTCAGATATTAATTCATCCCAGCATTTCCTGAGTTGCAGACACTGCAGCAAAAAGCCTTTAAGAAAATATAAAAATCGTATTTTCTAGGAGACGTGGTGACATTTGCTTTTCTTACTACATTTTGCCCAAACAACTTCAGTTTTACTTTAGGATCTAATTTAAAGAATAAGTTGAGTTACAGCATCCAGTTTTGCTGCTTACCATCTGGATCCACCTCACGTGCTATTTTAAGTGCTTCTGAGGTGGCCATGTCTGTGTTAGCGGCTGTGACTGCCAGAATAATCGAGTTTGGGTTGCTGATGAACTGAAGGATTAGCTCTCTTATTTGAAGTTCAATGTCCTTAGGCTGATCACCAACAGGCACCTAGAGAAAAGCAAAACAGAACTGTTCAAAATTGTGTGTTTATGTCTGTTTGAGACTTGGTGTCCAAGAACCACCTGCACAACTGGCAGAGTCGGGGGGGTGTGCACGGGCAGGGAAAGTAGTCATCCTGTCATCTTCATGTCACAGAAAATGATTCCATAGAAAATCTGAACAAACAGGACCTCAACGTTTCCTCTAGCATATCCTCACTTTGTACAACTTCTTACACAAAACACACATGGCAACTTCTGGAGGAGCAATGTGGAAAACATTTTCAAACTTGCCAAATGCTCATCTACCTGCAGGAACAGCTCTGAGACTTGGAGCACTACCTCTTCTCTGAAAAGGAACGTGCAGCCCACACAACGCTTCCAATGGGTTGTATATAGAAAGAGGAAGACCTTAAGCAACTCTACATCCTACATCAGCAAAGAGCATCACAAACCCAAATCTCACACCAGTGAGACAGTGATGTGTTGAATTTATATAACACTATTTAAAGCTGAGGAAAGCTGTCTATCTAACAATACAGGATAATGCCAAAGAGTGAACATGCACACCTTGTTCAAAAATACCGTTCACAGTGAGCCAGAAAAGAAGGATTCTGCACCTTACCTTTGTCATTCCAGGTAAATCCACAAGAGTCAGATTCACAACATTAGCTGAAAAAATCTTAAGATGAATAGGTTCAGGACTGATCCCCTAGAAATATATTAATAATAAAAAATAATTACTGTACTGGGTTATTTAAATGCATCATTGAGAAAACCAAAAGCTGTAGTTACATACTAGAAAACTTTCTTTCATCAGACACCCACATGGCAAGGAAAAGAAGCCAGACACATCTGTCAACTAATTTCTTTGTATTTGGCAGCAGCCCTGTTTTCTCCATCATAAAATGCAAAAAAGCTTTTATATGTGAGCGATTATATAGATATGCAAGAATAGAATACTCAATTTTATAATTACACATTAAGCCATATATGTGGAAAAACGAAAGCAAGTTTAACTAAAAGCTCATTTTTTGCACTATTATTACACAAGTTTGAAGTAAATTAACAATTCTCTGTCTTTTATCTGAAGTCATTTATCTCGTGGACACAGTGAAAAAATGTCAAGATAGCAAGTAGCGTTGCTTGCAGCATTGCATTGTTAATTGTTTTCACTTCTGCAAATGTTTTCACTTCTAGTTGCCAAAACTGTTTAAAAAAGGTTTAAATAGAAGTTTAAACAGCAAGAGAATTTATGGAAAGACAAAGATGGACAGTACATTTACCTTATTATTTCCTGAAATCCTCTCCGTTTCATTTTCTATTTCCTGACGAATTTCATCAAAATCTGTATAGATCTGAAGTAAGGAAGAAACAAAATGTTTAAAAATCAAAGATAGCATCCAGTTACCTAATTGCAAAACAATGCTCTCTTCTCCAAGAGACAGTGAAAAACTCTCTTAAGTATACAGAATATGAGAAAAAATAAGAATTGCTATTAGCCCTTAAGCTGATGTTAACAGGAATCATCAGAGCTAAAAATTACAGAAATTGGAATCTGTTAAACAGTATTTACTCTGTTGACTAAAACTATGAGATGGCAGTTGTTAGCACTTTGATGCATCAATGTCAGATACATTATTAACTAGTGTTCACCTAAAGAGAATGCAAACACTTAATTCCACTTAGAACCTAATTGCAATCCTTTTAAGTTAAAAAAACATGTAGCCTCAAACCCTTCTCATCTTGAAGAGAATAAGGGCAGAGTTTCATTTTCACATTTTTCCACTCTTGTCAGAACTGTTCTCCTTCCACCAATCCAAAATAAGTTAGCACAGAGCTACCCTTGCACAGGTTCCCTCTGCAATCCTCTCTAGCTTTCCTTCCATTCCTAGCACTGTTTAAAGTAATAAACACTTATGTAATTCATCTGCCAATAAGAGTATGACTTTCTTCAAGAATTAAGCTTTGACTCTCTTATTTAAGTCCTTGGTCATCTCAGCTTCTGGTCCTCAACCCTGATGCACATTCTTTCTTTTTCATAGCTTTCTAACAAATCTCTGAAGTTGCCAATTCTTCAGTGGACTGAAATGACTTGTGATTATACATATCCTTGTCTCTGCCATGTCCATTCTAATTTTGCCAATGTACAAAACAGAATAATCAACAAAATAAGGTAAATAACTCAGCAGAATCAATGACCTACACAACAGGTATTTTGTGTTTCCAAAAATTTTCTACTCATAAAAAGCAAAACACAAAATCCTCAACACTCTGCCATATAGTGTACAGGCAGAATAATCTCCTTTTTGGGAAAGTCAAGGAAAGAGATAACAGAATTACATATATATACATTAACATATTTATGACAGTGCTACTCCATCATCAGAGTAAACATACCTTATTTTTGGTATGAAGAAATTTACCCCATTCTGCAGCATCTACCTCTGAAAACAAAGAATTGATACATGAGGAAGAGGAAGTAGATGTTTCAATAACATTTTTCCAAGAGCCTGACTGTTGAAAGCTACAATGTGATTTTATTTTTTTAAAGCAGTAAAAGAAAAATTAGTTAGCTTTCTACAGTTAGATGTTAAATAGCTCAGTATAAATACATTAATGATTCTGCCTATTGAAATCTCATTACTATGTTTAATTTGTCTCTCTTACATAAGGTCCACCTTCCTAATTGTGACTGAGCCAATCAGCTGTCCTACAATCTTTCAGAAATGGTCTAGTTCAGCAAATATCAGCTTGTAACAGAAAACAAAAGAATTATTAGCAATAGCTTAAAAAACCTGGAAAAAAAAATGATGGCTTGTAGCTTCTTTTCTTTTACCATGCAAGCAAGATCAAATTTCAGCTGAAAGAAAAAGTTAGAAAAACCTGTGGGACCAAAACCAAGCAAACAGAAAATACATAAGAATTCTGCATAACAAAGAAGCCTTAGGAGAACATGTCTCTTCCCAAATCTGTCAAGGACCAAACATCTTCACTCTTGCAGTCACCACATTAAGTCCAGAATTACTTGGGGGCTGTGCAAGAGCAGTCCCAGAAACAGCAAAGGAGGTTTTGTCAATTCTTGCTTCGTAGCAAAGGCAGCAGTTTGAGTCACACTGTGAGACAGTCACACTTTCACAATTAGGTTTCCAAGTACTAGTGGTAAGTTCTATTTCCAATTTTTAGTTTGTGGTCATTTCCTCTCTGCTCCCTGACACAGCAATCTGCTCTAGAAGAGTAGTCTAATAGAAATCTGGCCATTTGGCAAACACACAGTTTACCTACAATCAAGTCATCCTTTGAAACATTCTTTTCACTTAAGTTGAAATTCAAGATACTGATCAACAAAGATTTTTTTAAAGGATTTGGGAATTCAAAGTGCAGGAAGCTCCATGAAGCAGCAACGGGCACAGAAGAAAAGCAAAAATCATCTCATTCTAATGCAACAAGGTCAGAAAACTAAAAATCAATCAGATCACAAGACTCAGCAAAATAATCAATCAACACAGGAGCTGAAGTGTAAAAGGAAAAGTGTAATCAACAATAAAGTGGCATGAAATGTATGTGGTTAGTGTATATAAGCATGCATTTTATGTGTAGGGAGAAAAAGCAAGTGGATAAAGGCAACCTTTAGAAAGGTGTCTTGGATTTTTCCATGTAGCAGGGTCTGCAGTTAAAAAGAAACAGCATTGAATGGTATTTAACAGTTTTTACATCATAATTAATATAGCATTTTATTAACTCTCAGTACCAGATTCTATTAGGAAGATCACAAATGCAGGCAGACAGATGTACATGCTATTCTAGTACTGATGAGAGCATGTAACATGTTAACACTATGCACACAAATAAGATCTTAACTAAACACAGATCTTAACTAAACACAGATAAACGATGCATATCAGATATTCTATACAACGAGTTTACTTGATGATGACTATTATTGCCATTCCCCTAATTCCAACAGCTCACAACATATTTTATCTCAGCATAGAAAACAGCACCATTAGGGCTCCACAAAGCTGAACTTCTTTGGTGAAATGTTTCTTAACACTTACTCATGGCAAGAACCAGAAAGAGTAAGAAAATATTTGTAATGTCCTGGAAGTAAGATTACTGTATGGGAAAGAAATCTGAGGTTTTGCATCAATATTTCTAAGACTCCATTAAACAATTACATCAGTTCTGAGACAGATTTAAGAAGAGACAACATAGATATGACCCTTCTCAACCTTTAATTTTCTCAAACTATTTATGGAAATCTCATTACAAAAAAAAAATTATTGAAGGGTTGTTGATGAATTTACAGCTCTATTTTTATGTCATGTCTGCACAACTGCATGAAAGTGCAAGCATCAAAACAAGCTGGTGAAGATATTTTTCGTTCGTGCCTGTTTGGTACAAAATGCAAGTAGCACAGCAACAATCACCTCATCCATCTGGAAAGCTCAGAACATCTGGAGAGTTATTTTAATGTCTTGCTCAGATGACTAAGTCAAAGGCATGTGTATCATCAATGGAAATATGCTGATTCTGATGGACTGCATCCATCAAGGAAAAGCTTTTAAACCCCAAACTTTTATCCTTATGTTCTGCAGGCATGTGAGCTATAAGAAACCATCATTAGGAGGAAGCTTTTGTTTGTCTTGGTTGATAAAGAGCCAAAATTACATCTCAGTCTCCAAAGCGAGTGCAAAATGAAAAGGTTCCTTCCTTTGTTACAGGTTATTGTACAGGTTTAGCTTATTTACCGTTCAGAGGAAGTAAAGCAAAATGCACATATAGGAAGAAACTACAGTATCTTCAGGATTGTATTGCTCGTCTCCTCTTAAAAATTAAATCCAAGAGAGTAAAGAGAGGCATAAAGCCAGGAAGAAAAATATACAGCAATATACTGCCACTGTTACATTAGGAAGATATGGACCAAGCACTCTCCTGTTCTGTCCCTCCTCAGGAGACGATGTCCTTCTCAGACAAACTGTTTCAGTCTTAAATTATTGGTTTTGTAAGAGTATAGGAATTTGCAGCTAGGTACTAGGCTTGGTTCTATGTACAAATAAATGAGTTTTTTCAGTATAATCTATCAACTTCTTAAAATATCTTCAAAGGGACAGAACAGGAGAGTGCAGTATATTGAATATCTCTTTTTTACTTGGCTTTGCAGAAGCACAGGAGAAAAAGTTTGCAATCCAGTTGGCGTCAAGGATAGAAAAAATGGTCCAAGATGCATTCAAGTCAGAGACACTGCATTTTAACTTGCTAACACCTACGGAAAAATTTCCCAATTGATCTAATTTAACACAAAGGATTTGCATTACTCTAAATGAAAAGATGCTCAAGGCAAGGAGAAAATATTTTAATTAGCCTACATTCGACAACTCAGTGTTCTGGTTTACATGCAGAACAATTTTTTTATCACTAGTTTAACTGGTAAATCAGTCTTCCCCCAGTTATGTTACTTTCTGGAAGCTTTTCAGGCAAAACCTTGAGGTGAATTAATCATCTGATTACATCCAAGATTCAATGCGAGATAAAAGTGTGACATTTTGGTCATTATAAGAATCAGTACTAGAGATTTTAAGAAATTAATACAGCAGCTGTTAAGAATAAACAGATTCTGCCTTTCAAAAAACAAAAACAAACAAACAACATAAAGACAACAAAAAGAAAAAAAAAACAACACAAGAACAAACAACAACAAAAAAAACCCACCACATCTTCTAAATAAAGCAAACATCTTTATTCTTCTGGCTTTTCATATCTTGGAGTAAGACCTGAAAACCTTAATTAACACACAGGAAAACTAGACGTATTACAGTATTTTTCTCAGGACTGCCATCCACCAAATTGTACTTTTTATGTCCTACACTACAATACTCCTTTAAGAAGCTCAAATACAGTACAAAGCTTAGTAACTTTAATTATTCATTTATCTCTTCTCCCTTTCCAAAGCAGTAGAAATGTTATTCATACACAATGGGAGCACAGAGAAACTGTTCAGGGTCATAAAAAGCCACCACCACAGAAGATTTCTTGCAGCATGAGAACTTCCCAATTACTAAATTCCTAGCTTTCCAGTTTCCATATCTTCACAGCTTCTGGATCCAGAAGGTGACCATCTGAACTCTCTTTCTCCCCTTACCCTATCACCTCATCCTTTCCTAGCTCTATTCCTCTAAATTAAAAATAAAAAGCCAACTTGTGAAAAAAACATGCACACATCTTCCAATCCCTTCTGCATGTTGGACCATTTTTCCCATCCCTGACACCAAGTGGATTGGAAACTTTTTCTCCCGTGCTTCTCCAAAGCCAAGTACAACAAAGCAGGTCACACTGTTCTGCAGCTGGGGCTAAGAGATTCCCCTCTGATGTACAGAGCAAAAAAGCTGACAAAACAGTTCTGATTTATCAAGCAACAGATCTGTATTAATTATTCCTGTGTTCCATATCAACTCTATCTGTCTAGAATTTGAACAACGTTCAGTTTCCTATCTTAGAACCAAAAAAAGTCCAAAACCTATAAACACTTAACTAATTTATCACTGATAAATCACCCTCTTTTTTTCTATTTCTGAACTAGTGGGTCAACTACCAGAATAGATTTTGCTACAAGACCAATTTATTAATTGACAAGACCAGGCCCAGTTCTCTGATTAAGTCCTGTTTCTCTTGCAACTGGATCAGAGAACACCCCAGTGTGGTATCACCACATCAAACACACCATTTGTTCTGAATCACTAGAGCCTAACAATAAACAGCAAAAGCACAGTGAGAACATTTCCTTCAGGCCAGATCACACACATCTCTGTAGAATATATATATCAGTCTGAAATATCATGGTATGAAAATAGAGAACTTTGTATTTAATTGAAAAATTATCTCTGTTATTTCCTGACTGTCTTGATTTATTGCAGTGACCACAGTACAAAGGTCTCACATCGCTCACCACTGACTTTGAGGAAAAAGCAAGGACGATCTTTAGTGCTGCATACTAAAAAATTAAAGCTAGTCCAACTGTCTGGCTGTAATTTTTCTCAACAATCTTTCCAATGTGCTCCCAAGAATCAAAAAAATACGTTTTAAAAAATCCAAAAGCAAAAGCAAAAAACTTCCCAACCAATCCAACAAAAACCCTAAATTCATACGAACTGATAGTCTTTGACAGCTCACATGCGTCAGACGTCAAAATTAAGCCATTGGAGAGACACAATTTTTTTCCTCATAGCCATAAAGACAAGGCAATTGTCCATGCTTAAATGACAATAAGCACAGCAGTCAAAAGTGCTTTGTGTTAAAAACAGGGAAGATGCAACCACTCCAACAATGGTAAAATTTAAACTTGTAAGAATCACAGACTAGTACCTATTTCTAAATGGCTGTGTTAATATATAACACTAGTAGATATGTAGATCAAGCATTAGGATGGATAAAGGTGACAACCACAAAGCAGAAGTCACAGAGACAGTTGTATAAAAGTATCTGTACATACAGAGAGTTCAACACCAGCATTCAGAAAGCAGCATGGCAAGACTGATAGTCTCTTGTCCAATATTCAATTTGTAACGAAGAAACCCCTCATCTGGACAAAATCCTTTTCTGCAAGACTATTTCCCTCTGGGAAATCCCAAACACATATTCAACCCTATCTCAACATCCATCTCATACAAAGAAAATTATGACTTCTAATGGCACAGTGACTTATTAAAATGTCAGGCAGCACAGCCAGGATAAGAGGTTGTCATCCTTTTTCTTTCCAAGCTAATTGATCCCATCTTCTCAGGTCTAACAGGACAATCTGAACATACACTAAACCAGATCAGTGAAAAACCATTTAGACCATGATTTGCCTGAGTTTTGGAGAGAAGAGGAATTTCAAACTCAACTGGTAAATCATAAAGGTTTCTCTATTCTTACTAAACAAGCCCACATCTCTCTCACAGGAACAACAAGATGAGATTATAACACATACATCTTGCATATTGATTTTTTTTTCCCTAAAAAAAAAAATCTAAATGGGCCTCTTAAATAATAATTTAGTCCAACATCCTTATGCAGTATCCTCAGATCAAATGCAACCTACAACAGAAAGGCTCTGCCTTGACTCAGAATACTTTAATTACAAAACCATCTTTTATACCTGTGAAGTTGCAGAGCAGAACGAAGTAATATTTTACCCTACAACTCAGAATCAAAGCATTATGAAAAGTACTAGAAACTATACACTGCACAATGCAAGCAATGTAAAACCACATTTAGAGAGAGCAAATCTGCCATTTCTAAAAGGTTGCCCTGAGATTCTGATTCTCCACCCTTGGCAGTTTTCAATACCCAGCTGGATAAAGACCCAAGCAAACTGCTGTTGAGTTCAGAGCTGGCCCTTTTTTGTGGAACAGATTGGACTAGAGACCTTCTGAGATAATTTCCTACAATTGTCCTACAATCTCTCCCATGGATTGCACACTAAAAGTTCTTAATTATTATGAACCCTAATTGTGTTCTCTGCTTGTTTCAATAACAAGCAGAGCTAGAGCTTAAACCTTTAAAAGGGCACAGTGTTAGTAACTGTCCTTCAGAAATCACACACTATAAATATTGCAGGAAAACAAATACTGTACAGAACTTCTGATAGCTTGACTTATTGTCACTAGAAATAAATTCAGAAAAATTTGAACACAATGAGAATTAATAATTATAGCCCCAAGTTCATCACACCAACAAAACCTGTGCCCTTTTTACAGTCTACATCAAGGAGCTAAGATTTATCTTACAATCAAAAGGTCAATATGCCCCTGCTGCTCTTTCCTAAAATCAAGAGCACTAGTTGGTATAGAATGAGCACTGAAAGTCCCAAGGGATAACTGAGATCACTTTCTTGATCTGATGAAGGATAATATAGAAACACTACAGAAGACAAGCTTCAAACTGGACAGCCTCAGAACATTTAAAGTGCTGTTCTTGATGCCTTGGAATCCCAGTGGGGCCCAGTCAGGTGGCATCTGTAAGCTACAGAACATGCCTATTTAAATCCTGTTTGCATCTACTACAAGTTTGTTTTCATTCCTCCTTCTTCTGCTCCATTCAGAAACTACCTCATTCCTAACCTCCTTCTAAAAAGTCACTCATCCTCTGAATGAAACACCTTATTTATACAGCAAAAGAGGAGGGGAAGAAAAACACACACACAAAAAATCATGTTCTCTACACTCTACACAGTTAGCTTAACAAGTGAAATGCTTTCTTTGGCCTATTTTTCTCAAAAGCATTTCCTAAGAACAGAAAAGCTTAAAACACTAAGGATACTCTGAATGTCCTAAAGATTTTGACTTCATGACATTTGCTAAATGGACAAAACAGATGTGACAACAGCTGTGTTTTCTTCCAAGCAAATTTTAAAAAATACACTTGAGTTTTAAGATCACAGCAACTGATTTTTCAGTTAAAGGAACAAGAAAGATTTTAAGTCTCTTTCCAACACGGCAAAACATGCTGTTGGATCGCACTTACCATTTTCATCTCCAGCTCCTTTCCGACCATCCTCTGGGGAAACATGAACCAGCTGCAGAATAAGGGGTCTCCGGGTGACAACTCCCGTACCTCGTGGGAGCAGATCCCTTCCCACAAGACTTTCCAACACAGAACTCTTTCCACTGCTCTGAAAATTGGAATACAGCTACATTACTTTCTCAAACATAAAAATGCTGTGATATTTTAGTTTTAGTTTGCTTTCATCTAACCTGCAAACAGGCAGTGAAGGATACAAGTCTGCTACAAATCAGTAACTGTCTAAACCCACTCAGGATATTTAAAAACCATGGGACACCTAAAAAACATGTAGATAGATATATTTTCTATCTCTTAAGGCTAAACCACATACGTAACAGCTTTTTTCAGAAAAATTAATATCCTGTTTAGCATTTTCTACCACAAATATTGAACTCTCCAGATACAAAACAGACCATTATAAAGCAAGCAAAATATATTATGCAACTTTCTAATGTCTTGCAGTAAAACTTTATAAACTAAAGAATTTAACCCTCTGCTAGTATTTGTTAGAATTAACATGGGCTGATCCTGTTAGTACCAACAGCAGCATTACACAAAGAGATATTATGTATACTTGAGTATATTAAGCTGTTAACAGTCTTATATTCCTTTCAGTTTGAGGTTTGATTTTGTGGTTTTGTTTTTGTTTGGGTTTTTTTCTACAACATATTATATCAGTTTCATAAGTGTAGACATTGTTTTATACTCTAAACACAGAAACAAACATTGTTTTGTGCCCTCCTACACTCTCTGTGTATATATTTAAGTATTTACAACTTAATTGACTGCAAATATCTGTCTATATAACAACAAAATGTAAGAAATTGTGAAATACTTAAAGGCTGTGAAATTACAAATAGGCTTTAACTGTCTACATTTAAAATGTTCTCCTGTAGCACTGCTGTATAAAATGCAGAATTGGTTCAACAAGCAGCTGTGAACACACGGGTTTTAAAAGCGACTCAAGACCAGTACCATATTAAAAGTAACAATAAGCAACAGACCAGCAAGGTCAACATAATACTTTGAAAGTTTGATTGAGAAGATTTTGTCTTTTTAATAGAACTGTATTAAACTCTTCCAGTTTTCTGAAGGAGGAAAGTCAAAACCTGCTCTGACAGTCACTGCCACCAGCTATGAAATGTTTCTATATTAATGCTACTACCAAGCAATTCTCTTGTTAAAAAAAAAAAAAACAAAACCCAAACAACAACCAAATAAAACAAAACAACTGGGAAAAACCCACCCCACAAACCAACAGGTGCTTCTGACAGCTGGAATGTGCATTACTGCTATACAACCTCCACTCAGCCTGCCAGTTCTGAAATAACAGACTTGAGATTTCAAGTAATGAGTATATAACCTCACATGCGATCATAGAAAAGCAGGGATGAGTATCTTTAAATCTCACACATTCAGTGACATTTCCTAAAAAATGAAAAATAAAACAGAGTTCAAGAAACACATCACTATCAGACAGGGCATTTCTACTAGTGCAGTAAGACATATATGAGAGCCTTATAACCTACTGAAATAGGACTTGTACGTAGAAATACGAAATGCATACTAAAATACAAGGCCAAATCTGTAGAAAATTTGAACAACAACAACAAAGCCTTCTTTCATTCTATCACCTTATTGTATATGCTTTATGGAACAGAAAAAAAAAGCTACTTTATCAAAAATATCATTTGTCTCAACAGGTGAACAACAAACCAATGTGGATCATGTATATTTTTAAGTTTTCCAAATTTGACTGCAGTGAGGTCACTGGTCTAGGGGGACCAGGGAGAAGGGCAGGGTCAGATGAAAGAGAAATATAGCCTTGTAGGATTTTTTTTCCTTTTAAAAGTCTCCCCTAGAAAGTAATTAATCATTTTCTTCTTCAACTGACCTTCTCCAAATCAGCTTTAGATACTTTCTCTGCAAGGAGCTTTTAACAGACCATTGGGCACTGAAGTCTTACCAAAAAGTAACTTAAGAACAACCTGACCAAAGCATGAATTAGCTCTGGAAATCTCCATGAGAGAGCTCCTGTCTGGCACACTTTTGAAGAATTACAGGTATTACAGACTGTGAAAAAACAAACTTCACAGTGACAAATAATAAGCCACTTCTTAACTTCTTTAAAACAAGTGCAATGCCTGGTCAAAAAGATGAGAGATTATAAAGGCTCATCGGCTGCATTGAAAAAGCCCACCAAAAACCCACCATGGTTTCATTTATTAAAAACATTTTGAACATCAAGATGGATATGGCACTTGGGGATATGGTTTAGGGGTGATTACGGTGGTGCTGCACTGATGCTTGGACTAGAGGATCCTGAAGGTCTCTACCAACCTCAATGATTCTGTGATCTCTTCAGCAAGATTTCTTACACATGAGTAAAATGATCACTCAGTCTCAAAGGGCTGGAGGTGAGATTTAGAGGAAGTGGCTTCTCCTGAACACATAATCCAAGCACATAATGGATATTAATAAATAGCTTGAGTCCTTACCAAGAACCTCATCAAGACAGGAAACCAAAATCCACGGGAGAAGCTGCTGCACTGCTCATTGGTCTTTCCAAAGAGTAGGAATGCAGGAAGCTAAAACTGGCACACACCAAACCACGTATAGAACTAACATAGTGTCTTACACCACTCCCACAGTTACCTCTGGACAGAGAAGGAACGATCTGGATCCTTTGCAAATGTGAAGTCATACACTAAATGCAACATTACAGTTCTCCACACATCAGGAAATTTACTTCAAATTGCATTACATTCCCAACTAAAGCAATTTGTTGTTGGAATACGATACACTGTCTGATGTCACACTCCTTAATCTGGGTTCCATCGACATCCATTACCAAGAATTGTCTGGGAACACAATTAGGAAAGCAGCAAACATGAAGTTCATCTTTTTCTGCCAGCAGGAGGAAGTGAGGGATGTTAATACAAACTCAGTTCAGCCAGTCCCTCAGACAACAGGTGAAGACAGAGACTAATACCGATGACCAAGGGTACCACAGAATTTTTGGGGATGAGTTTGCAGAAGCATCGCGCTTGTTTTGGCATCTCATTGCAATGCTCATCATGATTTTAAGCATGGACAGAAATCCATAAATTCATTTCATGACGGGTCCAGAAAAGCATTAACAAACTCTAACCTTTCATAGCAGATCAGTCAGATTTTTCCTTAATATCTGATCTTAATTTGAAATATCTATCAGCTGTAATATCTTGAGAAACTTTATATAGACTGCTCAGAAAACAAATGGGCAAATACAAGAACATCTTGTGTCACTTTTTTAACCCCTGTGTCAAACCTGCATTGCTGAGTGTTTAACACTCTGCTATGTTAACCAGCATCAGTCTCACAGATAAGCACCTGAGTTTGATGGAAGGTAAAACCATTTCCCCCAGAAATACTAAGATAAGATGAGATGATGCACACAAGACTTAAGTACTTTATTCACATCATATATACTGTCAGAGTGTGTTGAAATCTTATCAGCTTTCTCACTGCCTCCTTAACACCTGTATTTTTGTCAACATCATCTTCAGTTTAATCTAAAGCAATTAAAGATGAAGGGCAGAATCACTGGGACACACCTGTGCACTTACCCTCACAACTTAAGAAGCTGCAAACTGTAAGAACTGTGATGCACTCCAAAAAGCCAACATCTCTACTTTTAACAGTTCTCATGAGCTTGCTTTTGCCTCCCCATCCTTCATTTCTTCTTTACTTGTCCCGGTGTATTTCAATTCTGTGCACTTCAGTATTAAAAGGCATTTGCTCCCATCCATTACACTAATTCTTATGAGAAAATGTGGGTTGCAATCTGCTGTATTACTGACCACATTTTTCAGGAATTCAGAAGCAGCAGACAGCAGTGGATGACTTCATAATTGTCCAGCTTCATTAATAGTAAGAGATCACTTTCAGAAACACTTTAGGGTTGTTGATAAGCCAAATGGAAGAGACTATTGAAAATTTTCAAGTAACACTGTCAGCAGCCATTGACATTCATCTCAAACATTTACTTTGCTGGCTTTCTTACTCTATTTCCATGTCCTCATTAACATTCCTATTTTAGGAGACTTGTACCCTATATCCCACAGCATGCAAAGACGTTTTCTCCATATCAAGAAGAGAACCCTGGCCCAATCCTCTTGCACCATTGATAGTTACCCTCCACTTTGAACTCCATCTATAGGTAAAAAGGCCTAGAAGACCCTGATGGTGAAGACCAGGGCAAAGAAAGGATCGAGTACCTCAGCCTTGCCCATATTTGCTGTCACTAAATCTCCTGTCACAGTCAGTAGCAAGTCTGTATTTCCCTCATTTCTTTTTTTTTCTTTTTTAACTGATACAGTTAAAAGATACAGCTGATAAAGTGCTGGAAGTTCCTGTTGCCTTTCCCTTTCCAGTCACGTTGGCTTTCTTACTACATCTCCACATATGCCGGCAGTATTTTTATACCCGTGAGCGAGCTTGTCCTCACTTCTACCTCCTGCATGAGTCTTCGGTGTTGAAGCTCAGTCATGAGTTCCCCTCACAGTGCTCTCCTTACACCTCTCCTCATTTTCCCAAGCAAGTTTATGGACTACTGTTTCGTGCTCCAGTGAGGCTGTCCTTAGAGGTATGCCAGGTCTCTTGAGCTTGGCTGTCCTGGGTCCCACCAATTTGCTCAGTAAATAAGCCAAGTCTACTCCTATTCTTACGAAGTCCACACAGCAAGAAGGCAATAAACACAAGACTCACCTGAAGTCTCACTCATGCACAAGAACCATGAGATTTCTTATAGTCATTTGCTCAGACTGAACAGCTGACAGAGTGAAGAGTTGACTGTTGGATATTTCAAATATTATTAAATATTATTAAAATTATAATGGACTTGTATCAGCTGTAACAAATTTTTAAGTCATCTCACAAGAATCTCCTGTCTTCCTTTGTCTACCTTTAGACTTCATAATCTCTTTGTGAAGCCAATGCATAATATATAACCTGTGGAAAAAAACCTTTGTAAGGAAACACGTCCAATAAAGCACTGGGAAACTTCCAAAATGTAAATTAGTTGAAAGGGATCTAAAAATTTGCTCATTACTTTTGCTAGGATAAACTGATAACTTTTGTATTATCTCATCAAATAGGAAACAAAGGCAAAGAACTCCTACAACACAACAGAGATTTACTGCAGGACAGCACAAGAAAATAAAGGGGCAGTGATATCAGTATTCTCTATGACTTTTCAGTGGCACAATGATGACAAACTTTTGAGAATGACAGTAAGGAACTGTGAAGTAGGAGAGATTTCTCAGTGAGACCTAATAATTACTGAAGAATTCTCTTAAGAAAAGCAATGCATCTGCTTTGACACCCAAGGTGGAATGGTGGTAATTTTGCAGTTTCTATCATACAAGAACTATAAAAGTTCTCCTGGCTACATCACGCTCTTAGCAATATATATGTAAACAACTTACTAAATTTTCATTCTATTATTGGGAAATATAAGCTAATGCATTCTTGCTGGGATCTCATCCGCCCAGTCAGGTGCTTTGAAAAGAAGTTACTTGCAGTAGCTACCCTGGAAGAGGTCAGCATGCTATAACTAAAGAGCAGTAATATTTTTGTTTCTTTTCTTATTTGCAAACATGAATTACTCTGAAATAAAAGGAAATGCATGCATTTCCAGAGTAGTTCCACAAGGGAACTGTTTTGCCTGGAACAGCTATTATGACAAAATTTTCCTGTTCAAACTAGGAACACCCCAAGCTAGGCTGGTTCAAAACAGCTAACAAATTTAAAAGTTTATTTACTTATCAGAAGAGAATGTTAAAGCTGCAACCAGGGTACAATGAATTATTTTTAAGACATTGTTTGAAACAAAATTACACTTCTAAAAGATGCAGAAGAATTAACAGGGTAATCTCAACTTGAGAAAGCAGTAAAACCAGCACAACACACTGCTCATTGTTGCAAAATACATTTCAGTATGAAAGACCTTGTCTGAATGACAAGACTGTTGTTCCTTCAGGCCATTCCTCATTTACTTGAATAGAGAGCCTTCCTGAATCACTCAGGAAGAAACTGAAGTCACAGGAACTACCTCCACATAAAACAGCTTATGTACTAGTAGTAAGGAATGCCAGAATTGGCACAGTTCAGCCAAAATTCTTCAGAAATTCTGTATTTACACCACATCTAACTATAGACAGGTGCCAAACAAGAGCAAACAGAGAAATGATTAGCAGATGTATTCTTTCTCCATATATCAATTCCCAAAGGCTCCCCAGTAATTCATTTAAGAAAAAAAATACCTCACCTACTCAGAAACAAGTAGAGACTCCAAGTTAGATCATGGAACTGTAGAATTTGAAGATTCACATTTCAAAGCCAGATAAACTGACTTTATTCTACTAAATTCATGACTTGCAGTAAAATGAACTAAAATAAAGCCAAATTGCATCTTTCAATTAAAAAGTTCTAAACAACAGAGATCTGGGGATTTTTCAAGAACTCCACAGCCATTTTCTCTCTTCAGATTCTGAAAAACATTTTCCTGGGCTGTCTGCTTTAATATTCTTGCCCTTCATTCTCCTGAAAACATTGTTTCTTTTGCACTGTCCCTGCTGGACAACATACAGGATCCATCTGGTTTAACTAAATACAGATTTTCTAAGAAAGATAATTGCCAATCAGAAGATGAACTTGACCCTGGTAATAAGCATCAAAACTAGTGGGGAAAAAGAAACTAAAAAAAAAAAAACAAACTGGGGAGAGGGAGAAATGAACAATAATGAAACAAAAAAAAAACAGAATCACAAACAACTTCATTTACATCCTTCTACAACTGTGTATTCTGTGCACTCTTCCTACTCTTCCAAAATAACTGTGCATTTGCAAACAATAAAATTAATATCTTCATTTAAATTACGTTTATTATTGCTTTCATATTAAAAATCTGTAGAGCTAAAATGCAGGATCAGAGTTATTAAACCTGTAATTTTATTTTAATTTATATGAAGTCTGCACATAGACCCAGTGAAAATGCACTTCCAAACATAGAAGCCTTCAGGATCTAGAAGGTACAGCTGTTCAGAATCACAAAGAGCCCATCACAGAAAAGAAACAGCACAACGCTAAATGTTGTTTGCACTGTATAATATTACCAGCAAAACTTATATTATGTCTGGTAAATGTAAACAGCTAATTAATGTCAGCCTCACTTTGCTGCTTGCCTGAAACACACACCAGAACAGTCAGGGCATGATTTGACACGAGCAAAGGATGGCAAAAAGGCAAACAGTTACGCCCAAAACCAGACTCAGTAAATGTCAGATATCAAAGCAAACAGAAAAAAAACCCAAACCAAACCCAGAAGTTTGCAAAACATTTGGGAGACAAACAAGCTCTCCCCAGCCAGTGCTGATGTTATGCTCCAGTTACATCCCCTTTTACAAATGTAGGTAGAAATGTCTTTTCGCATCTGCTTGAAATTCTAGGGGAGGAAAAAAAAAAAAAAGAGAAAGAATTTCCCAAGTTGAACTTAGCCTGGGGTTTTCCTGGTTTTCTTGGTACAAGCCTGAGTCTCCACCTAAAACTGTTTTTTTGACAGCATAGTGTAGGCTACATCGAATGAGCTGAGGTAGCTTAAATTTCTGTTCCCCTGACAGGGCAAGGTCAGGGAAGCTCTGTACAGTGCCTGACATTGAAGATCAGGAGGCCAGTCTCAAATTGGATGC